ACTAATTGAGTAAGGTATATACCAATAAAACGATGGAGGATATGAATAGGATGGATGGAGGATGTGTGAAGGACCTGAAGAAAAGCTGATGTGAGCTGAAGTGCTGTAGAGACTAATATCTCTGTGGGCTTGTAGGGATCTAAATTCCCAATGTTCCAATCATGTTCCTACTATAGCGCAACTCATATCTCACCTCAGTGCACTTGAGTGCTTTGTTGGCCGCTCGCACACACAAGCGCTTTGGTTGTGCATTGGCACACACATTCTTGGTTCCATCACTTGTCCTCTGTCCATCTATTCCATGTCCATTCAGTTTGTCGGTATGTATTCTTATCATATTTCCATTTATTCTGACATATCTCCAGCGCTTACGCTCATATTCTGTATGTTTTGTCATGGACCCTTATATTACATGTTATCACATATTCACTTCACTTCTCGGTTTGCTTTAGTGCCTGACAGCACTTAACACTATATAGATAGAATATATATACTTGCGCTTGACTGGGTAATGATTATCTTTTCTTCCTGCACATTGTTGGACTCTAAGTCAAAATCATCTGTCATATCTACTGACTGACATTAAGTATCTAAGTACAATATGAGTGCCCACTGCCATACATTACTGGAACCTCTGTCAGTCTGTTTTCCGACTCATTAAGAGTTGCTTTGCTTCACCACCTGCATGCACGCATCATCTCTGCTCAGTGCGCATCATCACTCATTGTTACTTAATAGTGCTTCACATCACTCACACTTTGCTCATTGTTGCATGCCTTACCAGGCTTGACCAAGTACCTGGTTCAGTGTTTACCTCCATATACATATATACTTAGAGGAACCTTCTCAGTAGCAATCCCCTTGGGCCAACATTTAGCTTACGCACAGAGGACTACTTGAGTACATCTCATACCACCTATTTTCTTACACTTCACATTCCTCATCTACAGTGTGTGTGAGAGCCATGGCTGTTGGCCAACAATGAAATGCCTGCACACTATGGCAAAGGTAGTGTAGGCTATACAAGAACCTGAGAAATGGCACAAATGGCCTATATAAGGCTGAAAGACCATAGGTCTTATACCACAGAGATTGAATGTTGGAATGCCAACATGTACTATATATTATGGACTTATTTAGCCACACCCTTTTCCCTTAGTTACTTATCCTGGACTGAGGATATGTCATTGTTCTCCTGCCTATCTATATGCTAGCATGTACTTTAGTCTAACTGTATTGTCTAGGTACAGCAATATAGTCACTTATCCTGGACTAAGGTCTGACTGTATCATCTAAGTCTTAAAGGTTATGAGCCCTAGCTCTGAATAAAGAGCCAGAACCTCAAGATAGTTTAGATCACTGGGACCTTCTCTGAGTGCTTCAGCATACCTTGAACATCACCTTACTTGTTGTTCTAGCAGGTGCTGAACATATTTTTTCATTGGCAGGTGCTACCTAGTAAATCAATATTCTACGCTCAGATCATCAGTACTTTCCTAATTAGGGCTGCTTCTTTAAATGATCCTCTAGATATGTCAGGCACATATATACTGCCCCTTGTGTCATTACATCCTTCCTCACTTTCTATCCCCCACCATCATCATAGCACCCCACACTTGTGTGAGAACCAACCTTGACAGAAGCAGGGCACCACTACCTGGACTTAATGTACCACAACCAATCACCACTCCAGTCATGTAGTCCATCATACCTACTCCACCTGCTGCACCTACTGTGACCACTGCATCATCCAGCGTCCTACATGAGCTGAGTAGTTGAGATGTGATGAGACATTACTTATTGATACAGTCAGTATAGCACTTAGGTCAGCACTGGGCATGTATTCCGTCAATTTCACATATCACATTCCTCAATACTCCTTTTACCTTCTGAGAGTTCCATGTGTTCATCTAAGTCGTCTGAAAGTTGTCTGTCCCTTCTGAGATCTGTTTAGCATTTCTGATCCTCTATTCCATGTCCTATCCTTGTCTGTTTGACTTCACTGGTGCATTTTTCACTTTTTTTATCAGTTATTGATTATGTCTTAGGGGCACATACATCATCAGCCCATCAAAAGCCTTGTTAATACATATAGATACATACTTTGTGCACTATTACATGCACATCTCATAGCAATACATCTCAAGTCTTATTACATTTCAGATGGCTTATCTTGCTATAGTTCTTGCCTATGCAGTTTCCAGACCCTCACACTATAGGATATAATCTGATTTGCTAGTTACTTGCACTTCACTTCACTTCCCTTGCTATGAGTTATAGTTAGTAGAGTCACTTTCAGATATTTGTACTTTGCACAATTGATATTTTTGTTCATTCAGAATGATTGTTAGCTTAACCGCTGCCATTTTTGCTTATCAATATCTTTAAGTCCTTTCAATAGACTTTACATAGTCACAAGTCTTACACTCAGACATATTTCAACATACCCGCCATATTCATCCTCAGAAACTTTGTTGTTTCACTGGAAGCTCTTTGGATGCCTCAGTGCAACCTCAGACCTTTGTTTCTTAACATCGGACCACATTTGGACACATCGGACCAGTACTTTGGTACTTTGGACATACCTTTGGAACTCTGAACACACTTTAGGTATCTGTCCTTCTCCCACCTTTAATCTTAACAGAATATTCCTTGCATTTATATCAAAAGATAATTCTATAGGCAGTCTCTTTGGGACAAACATCACACTTGCACATTGAGTCTAAGGTAACCTCTTTATAAAGTCTACACAGAATCAACTCTTTATACCGATGTAAAGAGTAGATTCCTAGTGGGCTTATACTAAAGGTGTTACCTTAAGACTCAAAAGTGCGAGTGAGATGTTCGTCCCAAGAGACTGCCTATAGGATTATCTCTTGATATAAATTGCAAGGGATATCTTATTAAGATCGAGGGTGAGAGAAGGAAAGTATACCTCTAGTACATTCAGAGTTCCAAAGAATAGTCCAAAGTGTCCAATGAGTTGTCCAAAGTGTCCAGTATAGGTCCGACGTCTAAAAACGAAGGTCTGAGGTTGCGCGAAGCTTCCGGTGAGCTTCCGATGAAACAGCAAGGTTTCTGGTAAAGAAATATGGCGGTTATTGAAGTATAGAACTTTGCATAGTACGACTAGCGAAGTCCGTCAAAAGATTTAAGGATTTCAATAGCAAAATGGCAGCAGTGAAGCCAAACAATCATTCCGGATGAACAAAGATCGATTGCGAAGTACTAATAATCCAGAAGTGACAACTACTAACTATGACTCGAAGCAAGGGAAGTGAAGTGCATTGTGAGTACCTAGCGAGCCAGAATATATCCTATGATGTGAAAGTCCGGAATCTGCGTAGGCGAAAACTGTAGCGAGATAAGACATCCGAAATGTAATAAGACTCAAGGCGAGCCGCTACAAAGATATACATGTAATAATGCACGAGAAGCATATCTATACGTATTAGTAAGGGTTTTCGACGTACGTGCCCCTAGACATAATCAATAACAGATAATCAAATGAGAAATGCACCAGCGAAGTCAAACGGACAAGGACAGGACATGGTATGGAGGATCGGAAAAGCTAGAAAAGGCCTCAAAAATGGACAGATGACTCAGACAAGCGTGCAGAACTTTCAGAAGATCGGAAGTGTGTCGAGGAATATAAAACATGATTATCACCAGATATGTGTCCAACGCCAGCCCGAGTGTTACACCAGGTGGAGTCAGGGACTGATAGTTAACCACTGTTAAAATGTGGTGATTGTGCAAACTAATTACATAAGTGTTGTCTTGTCAGGCCACTGCCTTTACTCTTTTTTTCTTTAGGTCATTCCAGTTCTTCAGCACCTGAGATGTCATGTATAGTAGTCAAGAGGCTAACACTATCACCTGGAGATAAATACTAAAAGCAGGTCTCCTACAAAATACACTGGTGGATCTTGACTTATATTTAATTTTCAAGATATATATTTTCAACCCCTCAGGATATTCAACAGCACTATCAGGACACTTGTAGATTCATACAGATCATTCCTTTTGTTGGAATTGAATTAAACCTGTTATAGGTACATTTATATATAAAGATTGCAGTGGATGTGCTATCTTGTGCATCAAAAGTATGTTTCATCTCTTCACTAGTTATATCTCCTGCTGAGCAGCCATCAATATAGATGGTCATCTCCCAATTGGATCATAACTACATAAGTACATCATCTTATTGACAAGTTGAACCAAGTTTACAGCTCCATGATACAGTACTAGACACTTGACCTGATTTTATTCATGTGCAGTGAGTCTTCAAGCTACTGTACTTTCCACACACTCAGTCTTCTACTATTATAACAGGGAAGGAACTTGGTAAATACCTTCTCACTGTAGCTCAGGCTACTACTTTGACCAGCCTTGATAAGCAGATTGTCATCACCAAAAGTTTTTCTCTACCATAGCACACAACCTGGCTGACTGTGATCTGAAGATGAGACTAGTATTAGCACCAGCAGTCCATAATGATAGTGAGCTCAAGAACACTGGGGATATTGTCCAGCAGTCAGTATGCAAATGCAAGTGTTTCACTGCATATGATTATTGGAAAGGCTAGTTTACAATCCCTTATAGCTTGATTTATAGACTTGGACAGTATCTGCATGCTTATTGATTTTTTTTCAATTCTCAACATTAACTATGCTGTCCTAGCCAACCAACTTCTGACTGCCAACTAACAATAGAAAGCTCATGCCTTATTCATTTTGAAAAAAATATTCCCATTAATCAAAAGCAATGGCTCTGCCAATAGCTACTGAACTGCAGTCAAAAGTTAATCTAGGCTCTCTCAAAAGCTCAGCCCATTAGTGGCAAGGAAGTGCTAAGCTATCAGCTTTAGTTTGGCTTATATGTTTAATGTTGAATTTAAGCTTTTCCATTTGAAACTCAATCAAATTTGATCCTTCCTGCACTGCTCCTTCTCAGGTTTTTGTTCATCATGCCAACATGGACTTGCAAACATTGTCGAAATGTCATATCTTATGAACAGGGTGGTACAACACCTGGAGGCATCCACTGAAAACAGTGCCTATTTTTGCCCAAGAAAATTTCAGTCTCTGAAATTTACTGGCCAGTTCCAGTTCTGGGCAGTATGCACTGTTGTCCATTTCTTTACAGAAAGTACAGTTATTCTTCTACTATTAATCATATTTGTCAACATTGTTGCTCCAGTAGTTGTCATAGACCTAAGATAGATGCAACTCCTGGCAGTGTTTATCAGCAGGCCACCTCCTTATCCCTGCCAGACTTAGGTGTATACATTAAAACTATTTTTTGACCATCTCATAGGCTATAGTTAATACTCCATCCAGTGATTCCACCAGTAGTGGAAAGAGCAGCTCAGATAGAGCAAACAATAATGCATGGCCAGTTCTATCTAGCAGCTTTCCTCCTGAGCCACCACTTTTTAGGAGTATGTCTGCGGAGATATCAAATGAGATGGCTCCAAACTATGAATCCTTTATTTGGACACTGAAAGATGGATCTAGCAATACAAATCCAGCAGCTGCCCATCTCTCAGATATCTGTCTAGCAGTACCAGAGAAGGAGATTCAGGTGTTTCATACACCTCACATGCCCAATTCTAAGGGTCAGTCATTCATCTCCCAAGTCTACTTATACTAGCACTGACTCTTAGATGATATCATAGACAGTCAGCCCCCCTCCTACGGTAATAGAGACTTAGAAGTGCTAGTCTCACTACTGGCTGCAAACCCTCTCTATTGGACAGTCAATATCAGAGAATGCAATAAATTGCGACTGATGGTCAAATTCTAACCTGATCTTAAACTTTTGATCTGTAGTTGCTGCCGGTATGCCATTTTTTTAGATCATGTCATAGGGCACCTCCAGAGTAATCACAAGAAATTCTTGCTATTCTCTCTTAAGAAGTAAGCCATCGAGGCTACTGTGATGTAGGCCAGGGACAGGCTCCAACCTATAGTATCTTCTGACTCACCTCTAGTCTTATTAAACAGACATTTACTGCCCCTGCCATGGCTGACTGAACATGAACCAGGTCTCTACTACTAACACTGTCTTTATGCAGCCAGAACCATAGGCTTAGTTTGTGTGTATGGTTTCCAGGCACATGCTGGCAAAACATCTAGTATCTACAGGGAGGACCAGCCAGTTCTGGTACAGCATCTTTTTGCAAGATCATGCTATTTTGTGGCTCACCCAGTTCTAGAAAACACCAGTCCCAATGATCTGTTCACTGCCTTATATTCATCATTCCCAGCTGAATACATGAACAGTGTTATCATTGATGCTCATACAATTAACAGTCCAGGTTCTAGCAATCTCTCTCTGTTTCTAGTGAATACTGGCTGGGTAGATGCCATGAAAGATTATTCTATGGCCAAATTAAGAAGGATATCAGAAGCAAATGCTCAGGAAGGCAATGCTTCTTGAATGTTGTACATAAAAGGTCTGGAAAAGAGTTATTTTTTATTCACTTGCTCTGTCTCCCATATGTAGATTCCAGGGTTTTGGAAGGACTGACATCCTGGTACACTCACTAGTAAGTTTGTATATTCATTTCATATTTTATGATCCACTCACATATTGGCAGCCAATTGTTTCAAATTCTGCAGAAGAAGGAGTCAATAGTTATATATGGTCTCATCTGTAATCACCTTGTCATGATGGTATTATGGACCTTCTGCAGGGGAAAGAGCGAGGGAAGGGATAAGAGTAATGGGGAGAGTGGTGAGGAGAGCAATAAGGAGATTGATGGGGTGTGTGAGGGGGAGAGTGGCAGGGAGGAAGAAAGTAATAACCTGAGAGATAGTGAATGCAACAGTGAGCAAGTGGGGAGTGAGGGGCCTGAAAGGAAGAGTAATTATGTGTCTAGTGATGATGAAGACCTGGACAAATGAGGTGATAGTGAGAATGAGAATGAAACTAACCATCAGAATAGCACAGTGAGATTTGCTGCTGGGATGGCTGGGATTTTGCTGACATCAATGATAACAATCATCCCCAGTACACAGGAGATATATCACACAGAGAAGACCAGGCAAATAAAGCAGAAGGCCACAATTATCACAACCCCTTAAATGAATTAATGCAGGGTAGAGACTAGGATCCAAATGAAGAAAGATTACAATAAGAGAATAGGCAGCAGGTACATCTTAGATTGCTCACTTGGAGATACAAGAGGTTTGAACTAAAGAGCTATCAACTACAACTAGCTACCTATATACACATATTGAAACAGAGATCGAAACTGTGTATGAACTAACCAATCAGAATAATTCAAGGTATCATATGATTCTATATATAACTATGATGTCATGATATGTACTGCAACTGCAGTAAGACTCTGGAACATTCCAAGAGTGTCGTATGGTATGAAGTCATCAATTTCGGCATCTTCTGATAAGTCACATGATTCTAGTAATTCTACAATAGACACAATAATAGGAACTTCTTCAATAATAAATTATTTTTAGGAACAGGCATTATGACTAGATGATTAAAGGACTTAAAATCTAGGAACAAATAATAGTTTATATTTGGAACATTTAATATCAAGTCATCTTACTAAGGTCCAAGTCCTTAAAATGCCAAACCCGTACCAGTAAGTAATGAATTTTAAGAGTAGTCAGTGTGATACTGATGGTGCTGCTGATAGAACCTTTGTTAATACTCTACAAAGATGAATCAAACCAGACATAGATATGTACCATTTGCTCAGTCTGCAGATATATCCAGTTATGCTATGCAATATGTCGAAGCCATATAGCACTCCCTTGCCTTCAGTTTGCCTCAGCCCATGGTTCAGAATTCAAGTTTGACAGAAAGAAACTTTCTGTAATATCAATAATTCAAATGTATCATGCAGTCTATGGCCATATGGTTAATGTACTCCACCACAGGCTTTTATTTGGTGCTAATGACACTACACTTCAACCACTCAAAAAATTTGGTGATCTAGTAGACTGGCCTCATATACAGTCAGTGGGCCAAGGAATCTTGGTTTCTGAAATACATGCATATTGGGCTCCAATGAAGATTATTGTGGACAATGTTAGGCTCCATCAAAAATACTTCATCCAAGCCTTGAATGGAAAACTCCTACCATGGATAGAGGCCTAGGAGGAATATATGAAGGATACTGAAATCTTCAAAGAACACTTTTACTTTTTCTTTCACCAGCTCTCCAGGATGCCAAAGTGGGGCACTGAAGAAATCCAAGCCAAGATCGTGGACACTAGTTTCTGAGGAAGAAACATATTTGTTTGAATGCCTAGCTTGTGTTGGAGATTATAATAAGTCTTTACAAAATATTGAAAATGACAAACTGATACTCCATTTTTTACCTTACCCATTGGAGTATGTCCTTTGGAGATTTTAGACATCGGTGGCTGTAATTGGAGCCTGGGCAGTTGATGTTGTATTATACAGTGTGAAGGACCCACATTATTCATACTACCTGTTCTCAAGTAAAGGTCAGTAATGGACATCCCCAAGGCTTTTAAGCATCCTTCAGTAGCTCTCAGCCCAATATCTTCCTGGCAGCATTAGTCTTAGCATGAGCTGCCTAAGACACATTCTCTCAGGAATAGTGGAACACTATTATCTTTCGAACTTTCTAGAGCACATGACAGATGACATTCTACACTCACAGCTTGGTTACACTGCAGATAAAGGTAACCAGATGTATGCATGAGGACACCAAGACCATCCTCAGTTGACTAATTCAGTCATTCACTGAACTATCACTTTTTGTGACTTGTGGCACAAGTTGCTTGGTTTTAAAGATGATCCTTCAAACCTCCAAAGTACCCTCTTACTTCAAGAAGGATTTACTTGCAATGGACTATCTTCAATGAAGACTCTGGCATCAGTTTGAGTACATTAGATGCCTCTAGCATCCATGCCCCTAGTCATATTACTCCCTACTAGTAGAAATGTATCACCACTGATTGATGGGGATATAAGAGGCTTGGACTTAGACTTGGATGTGGACAAAGACCCATCAAAATGATCAATTATATTACTTTCTAGGAATGTATTACCAATCAATGAATATATAAGAGACTCAAACTCAGATACAGATATGACTGAGCATCCATCAAAACGACCAAGGATTAAATCAGCTACAGAGACTCCAGCTGCTTCCCTGGATCCTGGTAGCCATGTACCCTTTGGATGACAAATACTGCAAAGCATGGAGAAGAAAATCAGCCTGTTGAATGTCAGACAGACACCCTGTTACATTATGGATGTAAGAATTGAAAATATTCATGAGGGGTTTAAGTATGGTCCAAAGAACTTTGTATGGTAAATATGTTATACACTCATTTTTGTGATTCCAGAAACTATCCAGAACCATGTATATAATTGTACAATGGTCTTAGAGAAGAGACCCAACTCAGCTGACTATGGCTCAATCAGACATTTTAGGAAGTTATCAATATCTGGGATGTGAATAATGTATCCCCACCTATTATCAGCTGTGAGAGGAAAAAAAATGTTGTGAGCCTAGAGGGCTGCAGCTTGTACAAGATATTGGAGTGTCAGACAGTCAACATAATGCTGTCCTCCCTTTCAAAGTTGTAGGATGACTTTGCATCCCTGAGGCCCATGGTCAATGAGTAATGAATATGCACATCTTGCACTACTTGCTTGTAGACAAGGTAACTTTATGGATAATCCTTGGGGTGTCCTAACATAGGATAAATGTGCAACCTGCATGAAAAATACAAGAAAGGAAGATATACATATACAGCCCATTCACCTGATAACATTTCATACTTCTGCCCGGAAAGCTTTCACAAGCTCCGAATGGGCACAAGAGCGCAATGAGATATTGCAAGGGAAGACCATAGGGGAGCTAAAGTAATGAAATTGTTAGTGACAGGAAGATGGAATAATACAAGAAAAACCTAGTACTGACTGATGCCCGTCATGAATTGAGGGGTGAATTTGATCACTTTCCCCTGGTGTTAAGACCATGCACAAAGGGTAGGACTGATTCTGAGGGGCTTGGCTTCAGCTCGTGCACTGCGCCCCTTACCCGAGTATGTGCCCTTAATTTCAGATTGGTGTCCGAGGAAAGTCTGAAGACATCCGAAGGACATCCGAAGGACATCCGAAGGACATCCGAAGGCACGGGAAACTTCGGAAGGACTTTCTGGACGGGTGCAAGTAACTTCCGGATGAGTGCGGGAAAATTCCGGAGGAACTTCCGGAAATTACGATGAGGTTTCGTCCTGATACGGATATGTATAATGGCTACTCGGGACTTGTCCTGAGTAGAAGTAAACAGAGGAAAGGCTGCAAGAACAAAGTCCGAAGCAGAATAGGTCCGGAGGACCGCGGGAAAGATCCAGATGAACTTCCGGAAACTACGGAGGATCAGATGAGCGGATGAGCGGAGTATCGGATAAGCAGAGCTCCGGCCTAGGGAGAAACTCCCTAGGCCTGAGATGGATAACAACTAAGTTGGAAGACTAGAACTGATATGAGGACTTAGAGTGAAGACTAGTGCGAGGACTAATATGATATTCAGACTGAGGTACTACAAGACATATACACGAGTTTATATACTAAGAGAAATAATGGAAGGATCAATAAGCAGAGTCTGAGGCTATGTATGAAGCATATGCAAAGGTTAACAAATGCAAGTCGGAAATGAACATAGGTTAATGGATCAGTAAGCATACCGGTAATAGATATAACCGAAACAGCGGAATAGAGGAAATACCAAATAGGCTGTGTATAATGTTATAAGAACAGGAAATGAATTAGGAAGCTTATCTATATCGGATCGGAAGTGGATCTATACATCGGATTGGACCGGATCGGATATGGTCCGGATGAGATGCGTGGATATATAGGATGTGGCATTAGGGCGATGGGACAAGGATGAATGATGCAGGCTAGCTGTGAAGGATAAGGGATCTGGACGTGGACATGCGGATGTGGATGTGCAGAGGTGCAGGGATCCAGATGGGTACTGGAGACATGGATAGCACATCCGAAGGTCCGGATGAGGCATGGGAATATTATCGGATGTAGGTCCGGAATACGGGATATGACACCTAGGTCATCTTTGGTGGAAGAAAACTCCACCTATGGCCAACATAGTAATAACAGTGGACCATAAAGAGGCATCACCAGCATGTCAGGCCTGATCAAAGAATGTATTAGCTAACTGTATTGTCTAGGTCTTAAAAGAAAATGGGTAGCTATGTGTAATGTGGTCCAGGTCAACTTGAAGAATATGGTTGTTTGGATCCCAAGCTTTTGTCAAACGACCATTTCCCTTTTCGGACTGACACGTACTTTAGACTTTATTGGTTCTTATCAACGTCACACATACAGCTGTTCATACTTATTCTCCTCTCCGAGCGCCACACCACTCTTTCGTCTTTTTTAAACTTTAAACCAATGGTACTTGCATTGAAACCATTTCCTCATGTTGATCCTGACTCAACGTGCTCATCTAGCCTACTGAGTTTGACCTGCGAAGGAAGAATGCTCAATTTGCTAACGCAGTTCGGTCGGGCAAGAAAGCAGTGAAGCCTTCACACCAGGAGATGTTGGCGAAAAGAAGTCCTATCAACCTTTGGGCTCTGGGCGTCATCCTGTTTGTTGTTATGGGCGGTGGTGAGTACAACCTGTCTCAGCGCGCTCATTCTGAATCTGACAATGTTGCAGTGTTATTTGAGCTCGCCAGATTGGTATTCCTGTAATGCGTGGACACTCTCACGAGGAATATATACATAACACACTACTTCATGCAGTCCGCAGCTAGAATTTTTGGAAGGGCACACATTACAAATATTGTATTCATCATGATCAGCTTTGAATTCCATCATCATTCTTCCGTCTCCATTCACACCGAATACTCAACTGTCACCTACTTCCACATCCACACCAGAGTTGCTAACACTCGCGCTGATGCTCATACTTTGGCTGCGCGCACTGTTGGCGCCACTGGCTGCTGTCACTTTGGAAGGACCAGCTTCAGGAGTGATTTCGACGCCTTCCATAGCGTCGCCTTCGAGTTCTTTCTCATCGATCTTGACTTCGTCGCCAGCCCAGATGCGCATGGTGGGTTGCCAGACCATTACCACGTTATCTTCTGAAGTGGTAGATACAGTCCAGTTCTCAGATTTTCCTGGTGCCCAGCAAAAGTCCGTGGGACGTGCGGTATGGCCTGGACCAACCGAGTATCATGATCTGAGCAGGGTTACATGCAATTGTGACATACCTCCGTGAATGAACATGAGCTCCGGAGGTCCATCTTCTTGGTCATCTGGTGACTGCTCCACGCCAATCTGAGAAAGATCCCAGATATTGACCCGCCGATCTCCTGAAGCAGATGCAAATACTGTAGGAGAGTAGGGAGACCATGCGAGATGGAGTACTTCGTCTGTGTGTGACTCGAAAGTGTGCAACTTTTTAGTAGGCGATCTGATATCGTGCAGCACAACGGTCTAAATGACACCAGAATAAACTCCACCCATACGAGTGATTGAGTGTATACGTACCTTGTCTGCACTGCCGGTGATGATGAGATATGAGCATGATGGGCTGAATGCGCATGATAAGATTTCTCTGTCGTGTGCTTGAATTTTCGTCGTAGCTTCGGTGGCAGCTCGGGTGTCCCAGCTGAGGAAGCAATGAGATTGGTTGGATGGAGATGTAAAAGAATTGCACTTACAGTAGAAGCATCTTGTCATCTCCCACACTAGCTAATACGTTTTCTTCGGTCGCATGCCAATCTACGTCCTTTTCAACGAACTAGTTAATAGCTTGCTTGCAAAAATGAAGGATGTCACGAACCCCGACAACAGAGTTGTGCCCCTTGAAAACATTTGTTGGCTCGATGGTGCTAGTACCCTTTGTATAAGAGTTTATATCCCTAGAAAATATCAGCAACCAGACCTGTGCCCAAAGACGTTCCTCTCACCAGTGGCACACTGTCATATCCTCTGAAGCGCCAAGAATATGTCCACCCTTCACCGGGTTCCAGGCCAAACCAAACCTGCCTGTAATAAGCCTTAGATACATCTCAAGCAATCAAACCACCCACCCTTCTTTCGTCTGCCCGACCAATCTGATATCAGGTTTACAAACACCCCCTCTCGGAGGCTCGCTCGAATGTTTCGTCCGATCAAAAATGAGCACCTGTCCTGAGATAGCTTTTGTCGCGAGCAAATCCGGGTTCTGCGGCATATATCGCGCACGGTTAACCTCGCCATCGTGATTGAATTTCTGGGTGATGTGGATGCGGGGCTGAGGAGGGATGGTATGTCCGCCGAGTTCACCGCGTTGTTCGTCGTAGTTATCACGGTCAAGCTTTTCGTCCCGTTTGGGAATTTGGACGACTGCGATTTGGAGGTAGTCTTGGGCTTGGCCGGAGGTGTGGGTTCCGAGGAGGAGGCGGTGGGTTGTGTAGGGCTTGTTTGCTGGTCTTTTTACTAGATTAGATGAAGGTTGGAGGAGGGCGATGGCATGCTTACGTGTCTTTGTCGGGGAACCATTGGCACGTTAAACTTGGCCAGTCGAGTGCGTGTGTGATGACTAGGTCATACAGATACGGTGCGTTCTTTTTCCTGCAGAGGTGCTATAATTTAGAAACCTTTACATCAAGATAGAAGGGATTATCTACCATGTTTTATACTCCTAAAAAATGATTGTCCTGCTAAATTGGAGGAAAATTTGGGGCAGATTGCAGACTGACCTCGTTTATGAGCTTGTTCTCCTCCTCAGCAGCGAGGTCATCTTCCATATCCTCGTCCTGAACGGTGGGTTTCATCTCAGATAATAGGTTGTATGGGATAGATGAGCGATATGGTGTGCACCAGGGTCTGGTTCACTCGAGAACACGGCGGAACAAAGGAAGATAACAAGGCGCGTCGCGTCCCGCGCCTACCGATTATGTACATACACCTCCCAAACAGTATCTCATTTTGAGCGCTAGCCGGCGCTACCTTCACATATCATGCAGACATTCAAATTCATTCATAAAACTAAGACGATAAACGCGTTTAAAGCAGCAGGAACAAAATCATTGGAGCAGTTCAGAATTTTCGGATGATATGGCTCATTTACGTCTGCCACAAAAGTGAAATTGAGGATGGCAGTGATCTATAGGTATAGTTGACGGAGGAAAGCAGGACTAAACGACCATTATAGATCTTTCTCCCATTTGGCAACGAGCTTCTCGAGGTCGAATCGTGGATCTTCTGGGTTTGTGATGACTGGAGTTCAAAATTAGTACACATATAGGAAACGCGCGTAAGATGCGAAAAAAAGAGTATGGAAGGAAAGTATTCCGGGTGCAACTCACTACCATCCGACTCTTTTGGACTCTCCTGCTTGTGTTTCCATGCATCCCTTGCTTGTGCTATCAACTGTTCACGTTGATGTATCGCGTGGTGTTCCTTCTCTTGGTCGTGGGCTTTTTGCAGTGACCGACGGTGGTAGATGCCATAGAAGACGCCTGAAAGGAGAGCACTGTAGCGAGCAACCTAGTTCATAGCCGCTTTAGTTTAATAGGCTGTAAACGCGAAGAACGGCGTGCGTACGTTGAGTGTGGCAGACATCGTTCGACCTTTTTTAACTTTCAAAATGAAAGTTAATGCTAAGAAGTAAATGTTAGCAGGCCAAGCAGATTGAAAGCGGGGAGAACTGACTTGGAGTGTGCTTATTGAAAAGCTGCTTTGCGAGTTTCAGCGGAGCAAGTCGGCGTTTCCCGCTGACGTAATTTTTCCGTACTACAAGCCTGACGGTCGTGCTTCGAGTCGGTATCCTTAAGTTATGATTGATCATGTCCCGCTATTGCAAGGCAGTTGTTTCTGCCAGGCCATATCATACGCTGTCTCTGCTCGTCCAATTTTGAGCGCGTATTGTCACTGTACGAGCTGCCAGAGATTAACTTGTAAAGTGGAACCCCATTGGTTTTGATGAAAGAGTAATAATTCTCGAACTACAGCGTGTCCATTCGTTCATACCATGCATTTCGATGCTTCTGCATTCACATGGACGCATCCAGAACCCCACGAATTTCGATTAGACTTCTATGACAATATCCTCAAGCCATATAAGCGACGGTATAGGTGCAAGACCTGTGGCGTCGGGGTTGCATCCCACAACTATAATACCAACCGCGTAAGCATATGGGGCGCGAGTCTGGATAGGGATGAGGATGGAAAGGTAGTCGGCTGGGATATTGCTAAGCCCACTGCTCATCAGTTCTATGGAACACGGATGCTGGATGTTAATGATGAGTTGACTAAATGGCAAGGATATCAATCGAATTCAGATTGTCTGAATTAGATACCATTGAGCTAATATTGTTCACAACGTGAATGTGGATGTGGATTCGTGGAAGTGGTCTCATCACCCACGGCCAAAGCAAAGTCTCATATATATTGCACACTACTTGACTCTCTCTTCCACCATCGGTTACTCATCACGCCAGCGCTTACGATCACCAACTCAATTTTTGGCGATAAAACATGGATGAAGATGTAGACATGGATGCTCCTCAAATTTCAACTCTCAGGGAAGAGACCACTCCTCCTCCGCCCTCTCGAACCTCCAAATTCCGAGTAAAGTTACTAGTAACCGAGAAGAAGGGCAAGGGCAAGTCGTCCTCACCTAGTGTATCAACTATCAACAAGAAGGCTGTTCCACTACCACCCCCGTCCCCACCACCACCACCTGCCCCGCAGGCACGGACACATAGTGACGATGACGTTGAGGAAGAGGACGAAGAGGACCAACTTATTGACGACGAAGATGAATTACAACAATCTACCTCTACCCCTGCCATTACTACTTCAACTGGTGGTACCAAGCGGAAGGCGCCAGCGAGGAAGCCAAAACCACGGAAGAGTGAAAAGCAGGACAAGGATCTCGACAAAAAGCCCCATGGTAAGCCCCTCTTCCTACTCAACCGAATTCTATTAACAGAAACAGGCGAGCAAACCGATGCTCAGGATGTCAGTACACCCGCAGTTGCCGATAAACCGCCTCCGAAGAAAAGAGCAGCACCCCGTAGGCCTGCTGCTGCTCAACGCTCCAGAGCCAAAGCTCCTCCCAAGTACGTAAACTAGAATTCGAAATATATCAATAAGCCAATACTCCTCAGGGCAGCAAAGACCTTGGTGGTGGATGAAGGAGCGCTGAGTGAATGTAAGTACTATCTTGCTTCCCCTGTAGTCCATATTTACTTGTTCTGCATCAGCATACGCTGGAACCGCACCCTCATCGCCACTTCCACTCACTCGTGAGGGGGGCTCAGAACATGAGGACATAGAAAATGCTCCTCCCCCTCCAGTCGAGGGTACAACAGAAGTTGCACCTCTCCCTATTTACCCTTTACCGTCCAAACCATTCCCTGTGCAGCCGCCCCCAAAGATCGGAGCAGGCTTCGCTCCCATGTTACCCCTTGACCGAAGCGGAAACAAAATTCGCCGTTGGAGAACAGCAAACCGTGAAATACGGGGCATCGCAGGTGGACGATGGTTCGCTAGATCATGGGTTGGCGATAAAGAGTCTGAATATGCCAATGCAACAGCTGCAGCCGCAGCTTCGCATAAGAATGGCGATGTAGACAAAATTACGACGCCAAAAGGCGGCGGCTCGATATCTGCACCGTTACTTGGAAAAGGGTCTAGCAAATCTAAGGCGGCGCGTGCCATGTCGGGCATATCGGCTGCGCCTTCACGAGCAGGGTCTATTATTGCCGATCATCACCCTGTGAAAGCGCCTTCCAAGATGCGTAATATTGTTGCTGGGCCGGCGTCTGAAGAAGGTAATGATGCTCCCGCACAGAACACGCCAGAGCACACAGAGTCATAGGTGGTTTGTTTCATGTAATTATGTTTTGATTATGTTTTGAACGTGTCTCGTACCTTTTGCATTAATGTCATATACGTACCATATTGTTGTCCATGCCTCTCCCTCTATTAATATGATTGGTTCTGTGCAGTCTCTGATACTATGTGACAGGCTACTTCGTGTGACAGAACCGTGACCACGATGTCGACCTTAATTTGGTACAACTGCTAATACGTAGCCTGCAACGTTCAGTCTCGCTGAGTGCGCTCTCTACTCGAGTTCGCGGCCTGTGGTGCTTCGCATTAGGCCATTTGCACGGTCGGAACACAAAACCATATACCAGCCGCGTCTCAACCGATCATGTCCAACAAAAGCCTTGCTATCGCGCAGACCAGCACTGGTGGAACCCCAGGCACGAGTGCGGCTGCGGTGCTAGACCCTACGAGATCGAGTGCCAGGGAGAAATGTACGCATTCATGCAGATTCCGATGGCCTGTCTTTGAATCGCTGACTTGGGTTGCTACAGTGCATCAAACATACGCTTCTGATCCAAAATATAAGAAGTACACGCAACAAGTGGAGAAATGTCTCAATGCATTCGACAATGTACACGAGTGGGCAGACTGCATCGCGTTTTTGAAGCAGTTATTGAAGGTACTCTCTTCTTTACTGAGCTGGAAGCATGAATTTAACGCGATTTCACACCCACAGACGTTTCAATCATACATGCAATTCAAGGAGATCCCGTACAAGCTCATTGTTGCTAAACGGTTGGCACAGTGCTTGAATCCTGCTTTACCAACTGGCGTACATCAACGTGCTCTGGATGTTTATACGCACATACTTTCTGTGCTTGGAGTGAGTGTAACGCGGCTATTGCGTGGTAGCTTCTAATGTGTGCGCGATGCTAGACGGAAGGTCTCAAACGAGACCTGCCATTATGGTCGTCTGGCTTATTCCCATTCTTTGAGTATGCTGCTACATCAGTCAAGGTATGGCTTCATACGTGTTCTACTTCATCTAGTACTGATCGAGACAGCCAATACTGCTGACCATATATGACACGCATTATCTGCCTTTACAAGCTGGTCTGCGACCTGTGATGAAGTCGTTCATCCTTGCACTGCTCCCGGGTCTTGAAGAGGAGACCGGCGAATTCTTTGAAAAGGTATGTTACTGTTACTTTTCACAAATCTGAGTGTGGTTGATGCATCTGGTATAGGTGCTCACCCTACTCGACCGACTGTCAGCAACAGTCTCCCCCGTATTCTTCGTCCAGAACATATGGCTCATCATGATAACCATGTCGTCTGCACGTGGAACCGCCCTGAACTTTCTCTCTCGCAGACTACCTCGATTACACGCAGACGAAGGTAAAGCTAATTCCAAGTATGATCTTCAACTGCTCAATATTCTCTAGACATAACTCAGATAGTAGGTAGAGATATAGGGCTTATGATCCGTGCATTCGCAGCGGCGCTCGAGGACGACAATTTATTGGTTCGAAGGGGCGCGCTTGACATTCTTTTGCAGTCGATGCGGGTCGATAGTGCTGCTATCAAACGAGCGCATTCGGAAGATACCGTCATACTTATGAGAGCTGCGACTGGCGTAGTCCTGCGTCGAGATCTGTCACTTAATCGACGACTTTATACCTGGTTGCTGGGTCCGGATGAGAAGAGCGAGAACCAGACCGTCTTCTTGCGACAGCATGCACTTCAGTTATTGAACACCACGCTCAAGGTAAGTGATAATTCAGGGTGTATCGAGACGAGACCTTAACAATCGTCATTAGGATGAAATGTTTGCGCCTTCAGGGGAATACTCCGAATCAAGGCCGTTCAAGATCTTTATTTCGCTGTTGGACAAGTGGGAGATAGGATCGGCCTTAACCGATGTTCTTGTATTGGACGCTCTTAAAGCAATCCGATTTCTGATGCAGCGGGACGCGGAGGAGCACAATGAGGATGTACGTCCTATTTCTTAGCGTTTGAGGTGCGAGCATCTTATTTGTCTTTTCCCCAGATTTCTATGACTGCCAGTACGCTATATGAAGCTGTCGAGCCCAGTATTCTTTGGAAGCAGTTACTGGCAGCAATAATGAAAGATTTGTCCGAAGACAGCAAAACTGGGGTGAGTTTCGCTGCAACTCGGCCTCGGGTAGCGCAAGCTCACACTTTCTTTAGGCAATTGACTTGACCTTATTTCTACTGCGTTCACTCCCTATGCAAGATGATGAAGTTCGCAGCATTCACCTACCAGTTATTTTTGCCGCCATAACGGAGGAGCTGCAGGTGCGACTACTGTCACTGGGACATGACATAGCAGCTGACCCATGACACAGCGTGCGATCAACAACGACCCGTCCAAGGCTGCCGAAGCTTCTGTCCGGGAATGTCTGGCTCTGCAAGAGGAAATCTTCCAACACATACCTCTAGAGTCTCTCTGTCAGCGTCCCGGGCTGAATGCAGCACTTCAGACATCAGCTTCGTCTCTTGGCTCACTCCCATTTGCCTATGCATTTTACGGACTTAAGTTCACCGAATCAAATCCGAGCAGTGAAGTGCTTAACCCTTTGGTGGCTGTCTTAGAACATATGTTCTGTATAAGTCAAGCGCTGTCACGATCAATCTCGGCTCAGCAAGGGGGCTCGATAGAACTCCGAGCGGCATTGTCACAGGTGTTGCGAGTTTTGTCGGGCGTTGTCCGTACGGTGGACAGAAGTTGTGATGTGACACTCAGTCTGTCATGGGAACCTTCAAAATGGTTGTACTCTATGCTCGATTGTCTTGACCTCGAGGTATGTCATGCGACGCTCTCTGGTCGTTGGCAGGGAAATTTATTTGTCTCTAGGCCGTCAGTTTCACCCTGGTGGACCAAGTGGTATCTTTGATATTGTCTTTGCATGGTGCGCAGAAGCTCAGCCCAAAGCTGTCGATGGATAAAAGACCTGTGGTTAGTCGTATGGTGAAGAAGGTTTGTAAGTCTTACCACATTTGAAGTTGATCTAATAGAGGTTGGATTCGTAGCTTTTCAGATACCTCCACGCAGACCTGGCTACATGTCATGTGCGAGCTGTCAGTCTCATATGGTCCATAGAATCAATGTCACGGCCCCATGAAGTTGAGTCGATAATAGCCCAGAGCATGTGTTCTCCTGAGTCGAGAAACGTCTATGAGGCGCACGAGGCCTTTGGAGTACTTTGGCGACTATCAGGTAAGTAAACAAGTGCCATCCCATTATCATGCTGACTGAACTTTCTCAGAGGATGACTCGCTTCCTGGAGTGCGCCTGAAGGTGCCGTTGATGATAGTTTTGGAGACCTTGAAGCATGATGATCCAAGCCTGCGACGCGTTGGAGAAACATGGATGCGATGCAATTTGAGGTCATATATCAGGTAGCGCTACTTTCTGATCTAGTGGCCTGGTGGAAGGCTTATATGATTCTAAAAGGGTCTTGGAACCGGTTCTCCGCGATCTTCTGGACCCTTCTATCCGTCGAATATCCAGAGTTAGCAGAGTGAGCGGCAAAGAAATCAGGGGCTTCGTTTACGAGAAGTCATTTGACCAGCGTTATGTCGCCCACCTTCTCGAGATTTTACTCTCGATCGTCCAGTTCGGTGGTCAAGGTTTTTCAAGGTCTGCGCGCGGCACCTTCCTTAGGCGTTCATATGACCACGTGCTATTCCAGAGACTTAGCTCAGGTAATGACTATCACCATTTTTCCGTTGTAGTTTTAACAATATGCCACTAGCCGGGGTAGACGCCAATGCAAGCTACCTAGATGCGCTCATCGAGGTGTTGTCAAGGTGAGTCACATCCCCTAACTCGTCATTGCGCTTCATTCTCGTACAGGTTCCTTCAGTCCGAACCCAAAGATCAAGATGCTTCGGTTATGCAGCCACTGAACACGGTCATACAATCCTCCGCCATAGACCTTCTCCAAACCATTGTCGCTCGCGGAGAGATTGAAATGCTCGCCATCGAAATTCTCGAACCAATGGTCATCGGCAAACTCTTCCTCTGTGTCCATTTACATCGGTTGGACTTGCAAAACAAGTTACTGCGGTTCCTCCACTCCATTGTATCCGCCTCGACATCTTATGCCTACAACGGGAACCCGCCTCCCGAGGATCGAAGTACAGAAGGGTCGCAGGAATCCGGGAAAGGGGGTTACACCGTCAACTCCCTGCTGACACAAACCATCATAGATGGTATTGCGATCCCGCGGAATCGTCCCGTGATGCAAGCACTGGTTAGATTTTGTGCTGATGGCAGTTCCCCAGTTCCAACCTGCCCTTCAGAGCGTTATTTCTCCTATCGCTGATTGTCTTTGCCGACAACTACGCTTGCTCCTCTCAGATATACTAAAGGCGAACCAGCCAATGACTAATGGGAGCTATCCTCGGGTTGCGACTGATGCTGAGTTCACCATGCTTCTCAACACGCTCGAGCGGTTACTTGTGCTTGGCTTGACTCAAAAATCAGATGCTAGTTCACAAGAGGATGACGCTCCAGTTCAGGAAAAACCTGGAACTGAGTCAGGAGGTATCTTGGGATATGTCTCGAACGTCTTCACCACAGATAATGCATCTGCTGCTGTCGAAGATCAGCTAACGGCAAGTAATTTGATGATGTTTCGTGTCTAGTCCATCACAGCTGACAGTCGTACAGTCACACTCACCTGGGTATAAATCTCTCCATGATGGCATCCGTGTGTTACTCGCAAGTATGGGTCAACATGGTGTGGCATGACACTACTGGCCTGCGGCCAGAGGCGGATTCTCTGTCTATGATATATAGTCGGACACATGCTCGTTGTCGAAGAGTTCTGGAGCACCTATTCCGCGCTCACCCTACGGAAGTGTTGGAGTCCGTCATTGAGTGCTGGGATCATGATGCATCGCTCCGCTCCAAAGGCTCTGACCAGCCTGCGACAGGTATCTTCGGCTTGGTCGATGTCTTGATTGCTAGTGCGCAAAGCGCAGTGCATATGATCTGCGACAGTATATCAGTTCGTATTTCGAACACTTCGGAGCGCAATAGGAAACCCGCAAACGCGAATCTGTGAGTTATCTATCAAATCAGTGGATGAGTGGACTACCAAACGTATTACTTGACAGATCCGACATCGTCCTATTCAACTTCCTGGAGCAATATTTCCAACGGCTTGAAGGGCCTCTGGCTCTTCAAGTATGGAGTCGATTTATGCAGCTCGCGAAGGACCTGGCGTCAAGTCGGGATTTCAAGATCCAGGTTTTCTTGGCATTGAAGTGTGTATTTCTCAAAATTATCATTCGCTGCTCACTGTTTATTAGGTGCTTATGCGTTTTGGGCGACAAAGTTACTCAGACCACTGCCATAGACGACAAGCGCATCAGGAAAGATCTCCAGGTCCGGTACTTTCAAATTATGGTACAAATTGAAGTCTGCTCACTTCCATTTGTAGGAAACATTCGGAAAACTCCTTGATGCATGCGTTACTTTTGTGGGTAAATCGACGGATCAACCAAATTGGATGAGACGTACCACGAGGGAGTCGACAGTCACGAATGGTCGATCTTCCCCTGCTCTTCGTGGTGGTGGTTAGTTATCCATTCTGTGACTACTTTTCTGCCATCTGATGAATCGTCAGTCTCGGATTTGAAGCAGGACGAGAAAGATTCCAGCACTACTACGCTTTCGGATAATGCCAAGCCGACTTGGGGAACAGAGTTACCCTCCCAGGTAAATTACTTGTTAACTGCGAGATCTTGTTGGTTGAGACTGTCTATCAGATCACCGCATTTATAGCATCAACAGTTGTTCCAGAGCTGCGCCGGTTTTTGATGGATAACGACAAGGTAGCGAGTGCTTGTAGCAACATCGTGTATTACATAGTGAGCCCAGGCATCAAAACGAAGGCCAGGTAAGCTTTACTCTTGACGATAGATGTCAAACCCTCTCAAGCCAATGACAGGCCTCTGGATGCTGATGTGGTTGTGGTTGATATATTTCGGGAGATGATCAAAATTCCACCTGCGATGAAGGTTTGGCGAGTGGCAGTAACCGATGTCCTTTATGATCATCGCATCTTCAGCTCAAATTCCAGCGTTGCTATGAAGTGGAAACCCATCATCAAAGCAGTATTTGATGGTGACAGAACTTCTTTCCCTGACCTTCTTGGTAAATTCACACCATGCAATTCATCTAGCACTACTGATCATGCGCTTTAGGCCGTATTGCTACGTCGCCCTCGGCCAATATCTTCACGAACCGAGAGCATGAGATGCTTCTGCGATCGTTGAACTTGAGACGGCTTGCATTCGTCCTCTTCACAGGAGAGAAAAATCATTTCTTAACCCAGCTTCCGGCTATACAGGAGAAATTGGTGGATATCCTGCGCAATGTTCCATCTCCCGTAGTTCAATGTGAAGTCTACCTTTGCATACGAGTGTTGTTGTGCCGCCTGGCTGCACATAGTATGACGAGCTTTTGGCCCGTGATTCTCACTGAACTAGTAAGCTGAACGTATTACATATCTTATTCGAAACCTAACACAAATTCCAGTACCGAATATTTGGGCAAATAATTGATTCGATACCTTCAGATGGCTCAGAAGATCTACAACTCATACTTTCGGCCAGCAAATGCCTTGATTTGCTGCTTACCCTTCAGACAGAAGAGTTCCAGATGTACTGTCTCCTTGTTCTCCGTGTTAGCATGGCTATTGACGAATTACAGACATCAGTGGATATTCATCACCGATACCGTGGATGCCGTATTTCGCCCTGACGATTGGACCCCAGAATCGATGTTTGACCAGCTCGCTGAAGTAGTTGGCAGTTTACCTATTCCAGAGCCTCGAGTATGTTATCTTCTTTCTGACTATCTGAATATTCATCATCTGAATCGCACTAGGAACCACAAGGTATTGGACTATCAATGCCAACATCAGCTTCCATTGCTTTCCCTGTTGCCCATTCCGATCGTGCTTTACGGAGGCCCATACTAAAATCAATCCGTCAGATTGACTCGATTAGGGACCTTTTTCCATTCTTCTCCCATGTGAGCATCTCATCTTACGAGAGCGTGTATGCAAGTAGTGGGAACATCGATTGGGAGGCGGTTGAGCAGGGAGTTTTGGACGATATGTTTGACGGCCGTTGAGGGGATGAACTGTTTTTGTCTGTCTCTCTAGGATGTACATGGGATCTGTTCGCTGTTCTATACGCAAAGCACATGGGTATATATAGATGTGAGTGAATTCCTAGGGGAAAGCAGCGGATAGTAATCAGCAGAAATCTCGTCAGAAATCTCCCCAATTCCGTCGGAATTTGTACTGTATACGTTCCTATGAGTTAGCGGCTCTCCATGCAGCTGGCGAGGAGGTTCAGACCACACGTACCTTGTATGGGAGGTTCTTCCTGCAACACAAGATAACTGGTTAAAACAAATGCATCGGGATTAAACGTGAAACTAACCTCGTTTTCTCTGCCGGTGTGTTAGGCTGCTTGTAGCCTTGTTCTCCGGTACCCCATTCTGACTGGCTGTCACTCTCCTTGCCAATATCTTTGTACTTGACTACCGGATCCTGTTTCTCTGGTGGGACTCCACGGGTAATTTTGGGCTTTGGCGCGCTTTCAGCGGGGGGTGCAGGTCGTGCAGGGGGCTCTTCATGTGCGCGAATGGCTTCCTCAACTGTGATCCCTTGAAATATTGCCTCTCGCTCTGCTTCTTCACGTTCAATAGCTGCATGCTGTGAGAAGTGTTCAAGGTCTTCGGGGTGAGTGTATGATGCGTCGGTTTGTGTCTCAGGCGTTGAGTGATATTGTTCTGGAATATCCTTTGAGTTACAAATCATGGAAGCATGGGTTGTACGTCAAACAAACCTTCATGATGTAAGAAAAACTCTTATTGCAATCTCAGTAATAAATATAACGTGTGGTTAGTTTCAACTCACCGCTTTCTACGTCGTAATGGTGTCCCTCTGCGCCTATGTCGTCAAAACTCGGCAGGCCACTTAGCCCAACAGCGGTAAACTCCTCTGGTGTGACCTTGCTGTCTCCGTCTTTATCCAAGAGCTTGAGGACAGTATCCGCGACCTGATCAGCCTTCTTCTGATGTTCAATCTCGTCCTATCATGATGTTAGCACGCAACAAGCACAAGATGTTCAGTCACCAAACCTTCGACTTTTTCTGTGAATACACATGGTGGACGCCGTATATAGCCTCAATTTCTTCCCGGTCCCATACACCATCTCTGAAGCAAAGAGTACGGGTCAATAATCCTCTGCCCGGGTTATGTTTCATTACCTGTTCAAATCATGAAGCTGGAAGAAACTCTCCATGTCGAAGGAGTCGCTGTATCAGCATATAAGAACAAAAAGTTGTAATATATTTCAGTTGCGCACATATGGTGTTCTGTAGCCATCTACGAACAATGAAGAATCAGCACCGGCTAGGATCAATGTGTGGGTCTCTCATACATGTCGAATGGCGTAGTCCGCATTAGCAAGTTTTGCGCTCTCTTCTGAGTCTTCATGGCCGCCGTGTGCTGATACGAGTAACACAGAAAGAAGATGAACGGAGAGTGCAATCAAGACTTTCATGGTAGGGCGGAACTCGTCTTACAAGTGACACAACTCGAAGCTCTCATTGAATGTCGTAGCAGGCAGGACCCCCGACACCTCATATCTGTCATTTGGACCCCATAAATTATGCCACGAAGAAGGCGGGCTACTAGTACTCATACTTGGCACGTTATGACGACGGCAGTGTTGTGCTGTAATCACGATGTCGAGCCTCTATATAGATGTATGTCAAAATATTATCAGAGGTTCTTCTCCGAGTATGTTATCCCGTCTTCGTCTTTAGATCCCTCCACAATGCGGTAAACAAAACAGCTCCAATACCGACCATAGCAATCTCCAATCCCACAAAGTTTGACATCCCCACTGAAACACCCGAACCACCCCAGATTGCGCCGGTGACACGACCAGTATAATTGCTGCATTGAATTAATATTGAAGTGGGCCCGTTCCACTCGGGTGGGAGCTGCTTGCTGAGTAGACTAAGGGTCACAGTGGTCGCAATATTAAAACCGAGAGCCACGGTCCACCAACATGCAAATAACGAGCTATAATTGACTTTGCCGGTGCGAAGGATGGAAAGAAAAATGATAAGTCCGGCAAGGCCGATAATCGTACCGAATGCAAGGAGTGTGCGATCTTGTATGTGACGTGCAGCTAGGAGATTGAGGAGAAGGAAAGGGAAACATGATATTGCGCCGAGAGCGATGAAATTTCCTGCAGCAAATGGTGACCAGTGAAAGTTTTCGGCAGCGGCGCTAAACACAGGCAGGTTGGCTTCCCAAGAGCCCAGGATAAAAAAACAGAGCATCGAGAACCAGCACATGCATGCAATGACACCCCACTGGAACCATGTGATCAGCGAGAGTTGTGCTCTGAATGATTCGTCAATGGGTGAGGCAGGACGTGCGGTAGATGCTGATGGATAATCTGGAGAAGCTTCTGTGTCTTCACCTTTCACTTGTAAAGAAACGATGGGACTTGCTGACTGCAATTCCTTGGTGGTTGGTGGTTGAGGGATGTCCTCAAAATATATTGTCATCAAAACCCAGAAGCCAGCGTAGATCCCGGTCATGATCCATCCCGGGCTTGTATAACCGTTGAAAATTGAGTTTGAGAACCCGACTTTGTACAACACGCCACCAAGAAATGGACCGAAGCTCATGCCCATAGGCTTGACAGATGACCATCCAGCTACCAAGCGTCGTTCTCCGTCTGATGCCAACAATTCGAGGGTCTGTGCAGTACCGTTTGCAGTACATGAACATGGAGAATGCAACTCCGGTAAGGCAACGGCCGATCAGAATCAAATATAAAAAGTCGGCCCGGAAAGCCAGAGCGTAGGCGACGTGGCCTAGAATAGAGAAGCAACAACTGACATGAAGGGGCATTTTGTACATCCCTCAGAACAGGATGAAAGAGCAAATATTGAAATACTGTCCAAAGAGAGGAAGACATCTAAACATACCTTTATCATACTTTGTCAAGGGAATCAAAGAAAGTCCGGCAAAAGCTGTCGGAATCCCGATGACAATTCCAGAGAAAGTAGCATTTCCTCCCAAGTATTCTGTATATTTGCTTGACGATGAAATGACGATGAAAAATGAGATCTATGGGGGCCGAAGCAGTGAGTGACAGCTGCATAATGGTTGACATCGCTGTCTTACTTGAAGAAGGAAATTCATTACAAGCATAATGACTAGAGACGTCATGTTCGGAAGCTTAAATTCCTCTTCATTATAATCGTCGCTCGTCTCACGGCGAGACGAGAACGGGTTGATTTGGTTCAGTAGTAGTTTGAGGTCCGTCATCTGAACGAAAACGCCAGTCGGGATGAAGCGGTTTGAGTGGAAAGGAAAACACCCTGTGCCACGTCCCAGCACGACCACTCAGGCTTATATTAATATGATTGCAAATTGGAAACATCGTTGCAATTGAGACGATTGGGTCATAGTATGAGTCCCTAGACCGATAGAAGATGATCTACTCACATACTCAGGTGAGGGAGGTTCGAGTCCCAGGCATAAATAAGGGAGCTCACAGCAGGTCGCTTTTGCGTTCATAATACAGTCACGACATGTTGGAATCCGAGGCAGAGGGGTGACGTGACGTGTCACATCGGACCAAGTACTATGACATGTCAGGAATAACAACAAGGGGGGGGGAAGGGGATTCAGAGGAGAGTGTGCAGCTGAAGGTTAGCCTCGGGGAGTGCATACTTATCTATGGCGTACGGGTCAGGATCTTCTTATTAGACATCATGCATCACATTACATCTCTTTACAGCTCTTCATGCTATGCCTGCATGCTGTGTGTATAGTTATTAGCTTGCCAAGGCAGGCCAATTGTCATAAGCAAAACGCATTAAAAATTTGAAATGAGTAGTCAAGTTGAAGTGGGATTTGTGACATGTGACATGCGTAGCACAATCTGGTCAACCGCGGCTTGTCGTTTCACCGCTTATGTTCAAGCTGTTTCAGCTGGGTTCCGGCAGAATTTCGTTCAATTACCCTTGGGACAAGATTGAATTGTATTATGTTTGTCGAATGACTTCGGTGCTGCGGTCTGTCTTGAGTAATTTCTCGGACTTACCTTCCTTAAGCCATCTTGAAGTACTCCAATGCTACCGTACGGACCGTCGAGACGTGGCAGTAATGGCATGGATTTCAGAACCTTGAAGTACGTTGAGTCGTTGATTAACGCTCATGGTATGGCGCTGATGAGGTCATTCAGATTTGTAGAATTCGATGATCTTTGCACTCAAGCGCCGACTTTGGCCGACCAACAATCCCTTACTCGTCTGCATGCCTTCATCTCTGAGGCTTCGAGATGGAGACCTGTTGCTCCCAATGGTGGGTATCGTCTTTGTGGCTTATACCCGCTGTTTCCGACGACTATACTGCAGGAGTGTCTCACCGAACAACCAAAGATGTGATCTTAGAACAATTTACTTGTGCGACTGATGATCTGGCATCAGGAAAATTACTACATTCCAGCCGGCACTACAGTATTCGGCAACACTTGGTAAGCATTGAACTTTTGAATTCAAGCATGAATACCTGACTGGTTACTGTTTTAGGGCCATCTGTCGAGATCCAGAAGTCTTTCCCGAGCCTGATGCATTCAAGCCTTAACGCTGAATTGACGACCAAGGTCGCCTGAGAGATGAGGGTTATTAGTTCTTTGAATGGCAATAATATTTCTTGCAGTATTTGCCCTGGTCAACATGTCGCAAACAGGTTAAGCTATATTTCTACATACATGACAATTCTTGCAGTCTCACTTCAATTGGCACAGATCAGTATCCATAGGCACGGTCCTGATTCTTTGGGCCTTCCGGCTCACCCTCGATCCTACACAGCCGTTGGATGACACGTGGGTTCATGAATTCGGAGAAAACATAACGGCCGTGCTCTATCAAATTCGAGTTGAGGATTCCCGAAGCAGAGCTCAGGCGCAAGATGAAGAGTTATCCTGAGGTCGTGTCAGTGGATGAGACTGATCATTGCTAGAGAGAGAGTGAAGAACCTGTTCGGAATGAATCAGTGACCAGTATCGGAACCATGCCGCTCAGACTCGCAACAACTCACGTGATTTGTTTCTATGTGATAACTGTCGATTATGCTTTGTCGTTAATAATTGAGTAAATTTTACTGTGCAGTTCATTCCATGCAGATTGGTGAACAGGTGGATACCCTGCCCAAGATGTTCGACAAATCTATCAAACAGGAAGGTACTGACAATGATGCAGAATAGCAACTAGTAACACATGGCATAGGTGTCGAGACGTTGAATACTAATCAAACGAAAGTCAATCGCGCTCGACCTAGTAATAAAAAGCACGTTAACACTCAAGTACGCAACACGCAAATAAGACGCAGAATGAATTGAAAGGCTCAGATAACATGAAGCTTGAGATAAATAACTATTCGAAATTAAGTATCTCGATGCTCTGGTCCACAACTTCATTCGCAACAAAATGTGGTCTACCCGCTTGCGTCGAGCTCCTAAGTCTGCCCACGAAATCGAAGGATAGCAACATCACCTTGTTTCCTTCTACTATTAATTTGAGTCCAAGGAACTTCTCTTCAGTGATAGTCTCGATATACGGAAGACCATATCCAAATGACTCGAGGAACAGATCCGCACTTGAGCTCAATGATTTGCCCTCGATAAGTCGTTGATTCCATCTGATGCCATTCCCAGCCTTGAAGTCCGCTACTCGATGAGGGTTGAAATCGCGGATACACAGTGGTCGCGGCACAGGATGCTGTATCTGAGAGCCGAACAAAGATACAGCCCGTAAACCAAAGATGACATGTTTGCAAGAATCGTACGAGTCTCCCCTGAAGGATCGAGTATATTTTAGCCCCCATTCAGACCAAGGCAAACTAGGGGAACTGTCGCTTGCTTTTCCATATCGGCGCGTATAGGTGGACTGGAGTTTCAACAGGGCGTTGCGCTCGACATATAGTGTGACACAAGGTTCGTTAGTGAGGTCCTCCCCAAAAATCTTCATGTTGATAGTGATGATATGATTATGCATGCGGGAATGGGACGAGACGGAGTCCTTGATACGGACTATTTCATATTCAAAGGGTGTCCGCAAGGCAGGGAGCGAGAATTTGGCAGTAAGATGGAGAGCATCGGGGAAATCAACGAGGGAATATAACAGTAGTTCCTTGCTGTTGACGACGAGAATTATCTCGTTGGTTAGGAAACTGAAATCCATAACTTCATGAGCCGGCTTGAGGCACTACAAGTCCAGGTAAGTCACGAGTCACAACACTGAGTCAGGAGATTCACTGACCAGAGAAGTGTCCTGTGACTTCCAGTTCCAAATTTGCAAAACTACATCTACCTTGAAAGCATCGCTGAACAAAATGCCACAATAATGCCCGAAAATGGAGGATGACACATCGGGAGGGTCGAGTAATTCGAAGTCGTCTTTGTCGAGGGTTTTTACCACAGCGAATCCAGCTTCAGGATGGACTTTATCAGGCTCTGAGAGCGATCTGAAAATAAGATCATAGGCGTGACTTTCCCTTTATTTACGTTAATATAATCTGACTGAGTCATTAAGATGCAACTTGAAGGAACTACTGACCCTGGGGATGCTCTGACAAGGAAAATCAAAAGGTTTTGTGCGGGTGAAAAACCACAGAGTTGGATTTCGCGATCGAGTTGGCAGCCCCATTCACGCAAGCTCGTGCTATTAGAATGATCAGAGTCTGTCACTTGCGGCTGGAAAAGCTTTAGTCGATTTTCATTCTGCACTTTGAATGCCAGAATACCGCAAGACCACATGAATGCGTCACGGCGGATATACGGTATAGAGATGGGATTACTTTTGAAGTATTCGGCTTTCTGCCATGCAAATTCGCTTTGTCGAAGTGATTTGCGAAGCGATGAGACGGTGCGATCTGGGCCAGGTGAAGGGAATGAAATTGAGTTGAAATATTTGAGGTCAATCGAATATAATAACTCCGAGGAAGAGTCGATCATGTGTCGAATATTGTGGCATACCTGGAGAGAGACCGAGTTAATAATTTGGAAACAGAAAACTTTGTCCTTACTTGACGTGCTCGCGCTAGTTCGTAGCCATCCAGATGGCTGAGTATGTATGTGAGGATTTCGACGGGCAGATCTAACAGTTCTAGGGTGGCACGACGAACTTGGTTCATGGCTGATGGGCAGTGCTAGTGACTTGGAGGTGAGATTCATTTGCAAGATTTAGAAGATATCAGCACGAACCTTGCTAGCCTGCAACTTTCAGAGAGAAAAATGATGATAATGTGCAGTTAGGAATGTAGGTGGGCAATGATGCGACGACAACTACGATGGATTTATTGTGGCGACCACAGAATTCGAGCGAGGCTCCGTTTTATACAACTGCGACATGGCCATTGATGACGGTCAATGTGTCGGGTAACCGTCATTGTCGATCGGTTTCGTACGATCGGAAGTGGCCAAAACTACAGGTGCTCATAACACGTGAGCAAGGTAGTACATGTGCGTGAAGGCAATAGGAACTGACTGGTTCCCAGTGACATCCGTAAATTGAGCTCCAGAAGCCTTATCACTATGTGATACAGAATATACAACTGTTCAAAGTAAGCAATCAACGTCATTGCTCAAGCGCGTAAAGTGCAACACAACTGCAATTCATTGGCCTTAACTATGACCATGCATTGTGCATCTACGTCTTCCAATTCCTGGAGTCCTTTGCAATCTCAAAAAGGTCCAACAACCAAAAAAACATCGGCCAGTCCAATTGTTGTTGGTGCACAAACCAGGCATACCTTGTTATGATCACAGCCATCGAATGGCCGGAGATTCAAGATCCTTGTGTCGGAGTCAGTGGCATTCTGGATCATATTTCGTGGCCACACGGAAGTGACAGCACAAGACTGAAAAACTCCAGGTTGCATTCAAATTCTGTGGAGCCACCTTCCATCACGGCCATGGGAGGAAGCATCAGGAAATTGAGTTCTGTAATCAAGACATCATTTATAGAATGACAAAAGAACTACACCACTATTCATCAAATCTACGCGAAGGAAACGGAAACTCAATCATACCGTGCTTGGTCGATTCCAACTATGATGATGATGAATGGCCAATGATAACGTCCATCTCCATGAAGGCATCCAGATGGTCAGAAGACTGCACGACATGATTGTGTTTGACAGTGGAGTCCATTGGAATGATGAACGAACGAGGGTCGTGCCGGCAAATCAACATGTGTGGCCCTCCCCGCACTGTTTGGACTGTAGACTTCCTGATTTGAGCAGAGTTTAGTTGACAAGGGTTTGACTCGCTTACCGTAGAGTCATACTAGGGCAGACCTTGAAGCTTGAAGGCTTGATGTATGAAATAGTCTCGACTGTGTAAGCTGGACGCTTACCATCGGCTTACGAATCATGGATCACGTGTTACGTTCCCTTTATATTGTGACGCTCGACGTCATATTGCTCAGACTCGGGTCTCCTACATACCACCACTTGCTCGCTTGTATAACGTTCTAAAGAATCATAACTTCGTCCTATTAATCTCGCCCGATTCGTCTTAGTGTTACTCGCCGATACTCGGCGGGTTTCCAGACTGTTGGATATGTTATATTATGTAATACGAGACGGACACTCCAAGGTCTATAATATTGTGGACTTGAGATGTTTTATTTCAACTACTTGTGATCATGATTGCATAATTGGCACGTTATAACAAGTTGTGCAGTAATCATAATGGCGAGCCTCTATAGATGGATGTCATCCCGTCTTCGTCTTTAGATCCCTCCACAATGTGGTAAACAAAACAGCTCCAATACCGACCATAGCAATCTCCAATCCCACAAAGTTTGACATCCCCACTGAAACACCCGAACCACCCCAGATTGCGCCGGTAACACGACCAGTATAATTGCTGTATTGAATTGCCATTGAAGTGCGCCCATTCCACTCGGGTGGAAGCTGCTTGCTGAGTAGACTAAGGGTCACAGTGGTCGCAAGGTTAAAACCGAGTGCTACGGTCCACCAACATGCAAACAGCGAGCCATAATTGACCTTGTCGGTGCGAAGGATGGAAAGAAAAATGATAAGCCCGGCAAGGCCGATAATCGTACCGCATGCAAGGAGTTTGCGATCCTGCATGCGACGTGCAGCTAAGAGGTTGAAGAGCAGGAAAGGGAAACATGCTATTGCGCCGAGAGCGATGAAATTTCCTGCAGCAAATGGTGACCAGTGAAAGTTTTCAGCAGCAGCACCAAAAACAGGCAGATTGGCTTCCCAAGAGCCTAGGATGAAAAAACAGAGCATCGCGAACCAGCACATGCATGAAATGACACCCCACTGGGACCGCGTAATCAGCGAGAGTTGTGCTCTGAACGATTTGTCAATGGGTGAGGCAAGATGTGCGGTAGACGCTGATGGATAATCTGGAGAAGCCTCTGTGTCTTCACCTATCACTTCTAAAGAAACGATCGGATGACTTAATCTTGCTGACTGCAATTCCATGATGGTTGGTGGTTGAGGGATGTCCTCAAAATATTTTGTTACCAAAACCCAGAAGCCAGCGTAGATCCCGGTCATGATCCATCCCGGGCTTGTATAACCGTTGAAAATTGAGTTTGAGAACCCGACTTTGTACAACACGCCACCAAGGAATGGGCCAAGGCTCATGCCCATGCCTTGACAAATGACCAACCAGCTAGCAAGCGTCGTTCTCCGTCTTATGCCAACAATCCGAGGGTCTGTGCAGTACCGTTTGCAGTACATGAACATGGAGAATGCAACCCCGTTGAGGCAACGGCCGATCAAAATCAAATATAGAAAGTTGGCCCGGAAAGCCAGAGCGTAGGCGACGTGGCCTAGAATGGCGAAGCAGCAACTGACATGAAGGGGCATTTTGTACATCCCTTTAGAACAGGATGGAAGAACAAATTGGAATTAATACCGTCCAAAGAGAGAAAAACATCTAAACATACCTTTATCGTACTTTGTCAAGGGAATCAAAGAAAGTCCGGCAAAAGCTGTCGGAATCCCGATGACAATTCCAGAGAAAGTGGCATTTCCTCCCAAGTATTCTGCATATTTATTCGACGACGAAACGACGATGAAAAACGAGACCTATGAAGACCAAGGTAGTGAGTGACAATTGCATAATGGTCGACTCGGCGTCGTACTTGAAGAAGGAGATTCATTGAAATCATGATGACCAGAGACGTCATGTTCGGAAGCTTGAATTCCTCTTCATCATGATGGTCGGTTGTTTCATGGCGAGACGAGAACGGGTTGATTTGGTTCAGTAGTAGTTTGAGGCTCGTCATCTACACGAAAACGCCAGTCGAGATCAAGCGGTTTGAGGGGAAAGGAAAACACGTCCCTGCAATGTGCATGATCACTAATATTAATATGGTAGCGGAGCGGAGTCATGATTGCAATTGAGATGATTAGGTCACGCGTGCGCATAGTATTCCCTGGGCAGACCGATAGAGCTCTACTCACATACTCAGGTGAGATAGGTCCCTGTCCCAGGCACAAATAACTTGTTCCTCCAAGGATGCCTGTTACCCGCAAATAAACAGATTCCCGCTGGATAATTAGAGTCAGATCATATTTCTATCTGCATTGATAGAACAAATTATCAAGCCTACTAGTAGTTGTCAATGCTGCGGAAAGAACTGTGCACGTACTTGCCGTCACTGGCAACCTGATTATGAAGAAACCTTACAAAATCGCTTAGCAAGTTACTTTAGTAAGTATCCACTGCCTACATAAATATGTAATTGTACGAGAACCTAACCTTGCACAACAATCAAGTCTTACTTGAGGAAAGAAACTCATTATTACCATGGCACCATGCTTGGAAACTTGAATTCTTCTTCGATGTTCATTTATTCCCAAGGTTTTTTATATTCAATTATCCCTGGTCATTCCCACCCGGCTGAGGCCGGATTGAACGCAAAGCATCTCAGTGCTTATTACTGCGACCTAACTCGGTGTCACGTATCACCTACCAATCTTCATGTTGTCGCAAAGTCTTGTGATCATATTGGTGATTACACAAGGATCCATGGCGTGTTTTGTTAAACTGGTTTGTTGTCTTGGTCCCCTCGACCAGTTCGTTCATAGCATGGCCCTCAGGGATCTACTTAACCACAATCCACCCGTTTTCGTATCATCAGGAAGCAAGTGATAATGAAAGATGAGATGACTTCCTTTGTCTATGGTCCACCCAGGAGAGACCAAGGCGGGAAGAAACTTGGGCGGTGAATTCCGGTAATGCCGATACATAAATGCGACTATCGAGCGCTCAGCCACTTGCGGGACTCATATCATGTGTTACGTTGTACAGTTGGACCCGTTGGTATTACAGTAGTGGGTGCTGGATCACTGTTATATTAGGTCTCATTGTTTGGGGCTATGGTGGAACTGAATACAAAATTAACAAGTAAATCCCAGTATGACTGCTGAGAAAATAATGGACGTACGATGTCGCGCAGCTGAGATTGTGCGTCATTAAATTGCTTCTCAAGATATTTTGCCTGTCATATCATAGGGTCAACTCAACAATTACATTATCACTGAGCACTTTACCTTCTTGTTCAAACTATTGATATCATCTGTTAGCTCCTTCTCTTGGGTTTTGAATTCCTGCTCCATCGTTTTCCGGGGGACCATCATGAACCTTTAATAATGAATTGATTATCGATCCTGCTGTGGGTAGGACTCGTCGAAACGCACATTTTGCCAACGCCCTTGTACAAGTTGACATCTCCTTCGATGCCTTGGATCTCATCAATGGTGAGCTGGAGAATTCTTCGCTCTCGGTCTTTCGAGGCAGATTGCTGTCGAGAAATATTGAGAGCACGCTGTGACTGAACGGCGGTCTGTTGAATCTGGACCAAGATCTACCGAATGGCCAGTCAAGTAATCTGATGGTACACACGGAATGTTCATTGTGTACACACCTTTCGTAGTGTATCGTCTGGCAGAGTAGACATTTTGGTAGTGACAGCGCGAGCTCAGCTCTCCATGACAGAGTCGAGCCTCAACTCATTCAGGAAGTTTAGAGCTGGACCGGAGTTCCAAATTTATTCTCACTTGAACGCGTCCGTTGAACGTCGACACCGTCATAGGCATCAAAATCACACCTCTACCATGGCTTCCTTCGAGGATTATGATGAGTTTGGAAACTATATCGGCGCGGACTTGGGCTCGGATGAAGAGGAGGAAGAAACTCTGCAGCAGGACTTTCGTCAGGTACCCCAACAGCAGACCGCGACATTGGAGGGATACGATGACGAGCCTATGCCGCCTGCGGAGGGTGCACTGATGGAGATCGATGGTCTGTGACGAAGCATATTCTCTGTATGTATCTCATGGAACATTCTAGAGCCCGTCCATAATGCTGTTGTTCTGCATGAGGACAAGCAATACTATCCATCAGCAGAGGATGTATACGGTCCAGACGTAGAGACTCTTGTCCAGGAAGAAGATGCTCAACCGCTTTCCGAACCCATTGTTGCTCCTATCAAAGTGCGGAAATGGACAGTGGAGGAGAAGGACATGCCACAGACGCGATTTGACAAGGGGTGCGCACTTCTTGAGGATTTACCAGGCTTACACTCAACAGAGATGTAGTTTTTTGCTGAATATGATGTCATTCCCGGAGATGATTCGTAACGTCGCTGTGGTGGGCCACTTGCATCACGGAAAGACCGCGCTCATGGATATGCTGGTTTTTGAGACGCATAAACTCGCATGGGATGCGGATAAACCGGTTTGTGAGTTAAGATCTTTGGGTTACAACGGCTCATGTTTCGTTCACCCAGACAAGATATACGGATATTCATGTTTTGTCGCGAGAACGAGAAATTTCTATCAAGTCTTCACCGATGTCTCTCGTCCTATCCACGACAAGTGGCAAGTCACATCTGGTGCACCTTGTTGATACTCCAGGACACGTGAATTTTGTTGACGAAGTTGCTTCTGCAATGCGTCTTGTTGATGGAATACTACTGGTTGTAGATGTTGTTGAAGGTGTCAGTAACTCTATTCGCGCTATGCAAAACAACGCATTAACAAATTGAACCGTTGAAACAGATGATGGTCAATACCGAAGCAATCCTTCGACATGCTCTGCAAGAGGGCATCAAAATCACCCTTGTTGTGAACAAAATCGACAGGCTTATCCTCGAATTACGCATCAAGCCTGCAGACGCCTACTACAAAATCAAGCATACAATTGAAGAAATCAATACCTTTATCAGGTCTATACCTACCACATATTTGTCAATTTCCGTTGACTCAGAAGTCTTCACAGTGGGATTGATCCAGACCCGGAACTACGACTCAGTCCTGAAAATGGAAATGTTGTGTTCGCCAGCACCGATATGAGTTGGTGCTTCACTCTTCGTTCCTTCGCCCAGATGTATGCGGACACTTTTGGTTCCCTTGACGTTACAGCATTCGCCGACCGCCTTTGGGGCGATATATACTTTAATGCAGAGACGCGGAAGTTCGCCAGGAAAGCTGCGGACCCCGAGCAATCCCGCACATTCGTGCACTTCATCCTGGATCCCCTGTATAAGCTCTACAGTCACGTGCTGAGCGAGGACACGGAAGACCTGAAAAGTACCCTTGCATCATTGAACATATCTCTAAAGCCAGTGATGTACAAGATGGATGTGAGGCCTCTGCTGAAGGCTATTTTGGACCAGTTCTTTGGACCTGCCACTGGACTAGTTGACATGATTGTGGAGCATATTCCGTCACCTTTGCAGGGAGCAGCCAGCAAGGTATGGGTTTTCCAGTACTTTTGATTAGTTGAATTGAGTCTGGTATAGGTCGAGCGGACATACACTGGCTCACAAACGTCTGATATCGCTGTCGCAATGAAAGCTTGCGATACTGAAGCGCCCGTAATGGTCCAAATCTCGAAGTTGTATCATACAACAGATGCCCAGTCATTTAGGGCCTTCGGTCGCGTCATGAGTGGCACCCTTAGGAAGGGCACACCGATCAAAGTACTTGGTGAGGGATACTCACCAGAAGACGAGGAAGACATGGCGAGAGGTACCGTGGAAGACATATGGATAAGCGAAGCTCGGTAAGCTCCTTGCATTTGATCACTCTAATTGAGTAAGCCTTTTCCTCTAGATACTTCATCCCGGCCGACGAGGTTCCTGCCGGCAACCTCGTCCTTATTGCAGGAGTCGACGCGTCCATTTCCAAGACCGCCACTCTCGCTGACCCATCCATCGATGATGATCTCTACATTTTCCGGCCTATTAAGCACATGACAGAGTCAGTGCTTAAAATTGCCATTGAACCAATAGCGCCGTCTGAGCTACCCAAGATGTTGTCTGGCCTACGAAGTATCAACAAGAGCTACCCTCTCGCGGCCACGAAAGTTGAGGAAAGTGGTGAACACGTGCTCATTGGTACAGGCGAATTGTATCTGGACTGTGTTATGCATGACCTTCGGAGGCTATTTGCTGAGATCGAGATCAAGGTGTCGGATCCAGTCACCAAATTCTGTGAAACTGTATTGGAGACGAGTGCACTAAAATGCTATGCGGACACGCCAAATAAGAAGTAGGTATCAGTATAGATGACTTTATCTCCTCTCTGATGGACTACAGGAACAAGCTTACTATGATCGCGGAGCCTTTGGAAAGAGGTATTGCCGAAGATATTGAACGGGGGAGGGTCACCATGCGGATGACCCCGAAGGAACGTGGTACATTCTTTCAGGATAAATACCAATGGGATTTGCTGGCATCGAGGTCAATATGGGCGTTCGGTCCCGATGATAGCGGGCCGAACATTTTGCTCGATGATACCTTGCCCTCTCAGGTCAGGTCTACTAGCCTCCCACTACTTCATTTTTCTCATTGTTGGAATGCAGGTTGATAAAAAATTGCTTGGAACTGTGAAGGAACATATCAAGCAAGGTTTCCAGTGGGGAGCTCGCGAGGGTCCTTTGTGCGATGAACGTACGTATCGGCTTTGGCATGACTTTATCATACTCTTACAAAACTCATCGTAACAGCTATGCGTAATGTGAAGTTCCGGATACTGGATGCAAGCCTAGCTCAAGAGCCAATCTTCCGTGGTGGTGGACAGATTGTCCCTACTGCACGTCGTGTGTGCTACTCATCGTTTTTGATGGTGAGGCTCCTATCAATTGCATCGCTGTGGTTGTTAATGGGTTAATAGGCCACGCCACGCCTCATGGAGCCGATTTACTACGTTGAAGTGCAGGCACCAGCTGACTGTATATCAGCCGTATACACTGTTCTAGCCCGACGCCGGGGGCATGTTACGCAAGACATCCCCAAGGCTGGCTCCCCGTTATATACGGTCAAAGCCTTGATTCCTGTGATAGACGCAAATGGGTTCGAGGCCGACCTTCGAACTGCCACGCAAGGTCAGGCGTTCTGCTTGCAGGTGTTCGACCACTGGTCGATAGTTCCTGGTAAATGCATGCACAGTCCCCTATCAAAACAGCTATATTAATTGTGTGCAGGTGATCCCACTGACACGAGCATCAAACTTCGGCCATTAGAGCCTGCATCAGGACAAGCATTAGCTCGGGATCTTGTGTTGAAGACGCGGCGGCGCAAGGGTCTGGGTGATCAGATTGCCGTGTCCAAGTACTTGGATGATGAGTTTGTGGTGAGTGTTACTTGTTATGATATTGAAATTTATGTTTGCTGATGGATGTAAATAGTTGGCGCTATCTGCGTCTGGGCATGCTGATCTACTTGGGTAGTGTACCTGTGTTGCGTATGTAACGTAGTATATGATTGATCTTGTTGTGCGCATTCGAGTGAAAATGAATTACAGCTGACGCGAGTTGAGCGCGAGTAATTGGAAGGTCAAGGAATGTCGGGCGTGGGAGAGCATACGTGGCAGGAGTTAGCCGGGAAGGATAAGAGCGTGCTGGTGTTTTGTACTGGGCTACATTTCATACCGTCATCGCTCGTTTTCGATTTTCTACCGTCTCTGGTCCTTCGTATTCTTAAAATGCGAAGCGTAGCGCTTTCCGTTATCCTCGTTGTAGCTGCCGCAAGCGCGTCAGCGTCAGAGGACTCCAAACCTGTATTCAAGGTTCGTTCATGCACGCGTGTTCATGACGCCATACGTGTAACCCGCTAGTCTGAACTTATGTCGACTGACTCTTTCTTTGTAGGCAACAGAGATTCAAGCTCCTTTCATTGAGCAATTCACTGACGACTATTCCGAACGCTGGACACCTTCGGAGGCAACCAAGAAGACACCCGTCGGCGGCGAGATATTCTCCTACGTCGGTAAATGGGAGGTCGAGGAACCCGAGACACCCCTCATTGAGGGCGAGAAGGGCCTCGTCGCCAAGTCCAAGGCTGCTCACCACGCTATCTCTGCACCTTTTGCCACCCCTGTCGACTTCAAGGACAAGCCCCTTGTCGTTCAGTACGAGGTCAAGTACCAGAAGGGCGGGAACTGTGGTGGTGGTTACATTAAACTTCTTGAGGATGGCTTCCAGACCAGCGGGAAGGAATTCTCAGATACCACCCCTTGGGTTGTGATGTTCGGACCTGACAACACTTGCCCTGGCACTAAGGTAACACATTCTTTGTTCAGTTGTCATTTCGTTCTGACAATGTTTTCTGTGATGTAGCTGCACTTCATCTTCCGCCATCAGAACCCAGTCACTGGTGAATTCGAGGAGAAGCATCTTTCTACCCCTCCGAAACCCACCTTTGGCAAGAACACCAACCTTTACACCCTCATTGTCAAGTAAGTTTCCTTTACAATCATTATCTGACCGAAACTGATGCGTGGACTTAGCCCTGATAACACGTACGACGTACTTTTCAATGGAGAAAGTCAGAGCTCGGGCAACCTTCTTGAGGACTTCACTCCCTCTGTCAACCCTGCGAAGGAGATTGACGACCCCGAAGATAAGAAGCCTGAAGACTGGGTTAATGAAAAGAGGATTAGTGATCCCGACGCTGTAAAGGTGCGCTTACCCTTGTAAAGTTGAGCCAAGGCACTCATTTTAATGCACAGCCCGCGGACTGGGATGAGACTGAGCCTTACGAGATTTTGGATGAGGATGCTGTGAAGCCCGAAGGCTGGTTGGACGATGCACCCGCGAACATTCCTGATCCGGATGCCGAGAAGCCTGAAGAGTGGGACGACGAGGAAGATGGTGACTGGATCGCGCCCACAGTCCCCAACCCGGCTTGTGATGAGGCTCCTGGATGCGGTGAATGGAAACGCCCCTACAAGGCCAACCCTGCATACAAGGGCAAGTGGTACGCGCCTATGATCGATAACCCCGCCTACATCGGCGAGTGGGCCCCCCGCAAAATCCCCAACCCTGACTTCTTTGAGGATCTAGAGCCAGTCAAGCACCTAAACAACATCGTTCGTGTTTCTGCTTCATAACTCTTGTATTGACCTTGACTGATACGCTCAGGGGGGTGTTGGCATCGAACTTTGGACCATGACTGAGGACATCCTGTTCAACAACATCTACGTCGGTCACTCTATTGACGACGCGAAGTCTCTGGCCGCCGAGACCTACGAGGTCAAGAAGCACCTTGAGGCAGCTCTATCCGCTCAGAAGGACGTCGATGATGAAGGCGACTACTACATCCCTCCCTTCTTGGAGGATCCTATCTCCCATATCCGTGGTAAAATTGCCCAGTTCCTTGACGCTGCTCGGGAGGACCCCTTGTCAGCCATCAAAGCCCACCCGGAAACTGGTGTTGGTCTCGCTGGTGTTGTCTTCACTCTTTTCGGGATGCTTGCTGCTCTATTTGGTTTGATTGGCTCGCAGCAAACGAAACCTGTTGCCAAGGTTTGTACTACATCTTCCCTGGCTTCCCTCACTGAACTATATCATCACCAGGCAAAGAAAACGGACACCTCTACGCCCGATGACAAACAAAAGACTGACAGCACGCCCGTTGCGCCTGCAGGAGGCGAGAAGAAGGACGCAGGCCCTGCCAAGAAACGCAAGTAGAAGCATTGAGATCGTTCTCGCGTAAGCGACTCTTTCCTGATACGAAGGGTCACGAGGATATGCGTGTCCAGCAGCTACCACTATAATTTACTAGTATTGATTTTGTTCATCGTTTGCCTGCTCGGGCTCGGGGAAGTAAAATGTATGGACTGCCATATTATTGTAAAGTTGACGCTCGTTATCAATATCAGTCATGAAGACCAATGTCAGGATAGTACGTGGCATCCGAGTACGACGACAGTAGGGTTTTATTTGAAATGAGACGCAGCAGTAAGTCTCAACCAATTAGTTAATGCAAACCTTGAAAGTCGGAGCAGAAATAGCTTTCGACCGATCACCTCGCCTGCGGATGAATGGCAAAACCCGTCCACTGTCGCTCACAAATCAGTTACTTTTCGTTTTAATTTTAAAGTTTCGGTTCATACAGGACTGCTTCACTATAGTTCCATCTGTATGTATGATCCTCATGTACCTAATGATGACCCGTGTAGGAGGTTGTTATTCTTCATCTGAGCTGTGAAGAAGCCGGAGTCGGTGTTGGTGCACATTTTGTAATCATCATTCAAGCAAGGTCAACGCCGGTGACGGCGCCTAGTATATATTCTCGTGTGCACAGTCACGTTCAGGCATGTGAGCGACGGTTCCTCGGTGATCCATTTCATGACCCGAACCTGTGTACGTTTATTTACCAAAAGGTTTGGATCCTAACAGTCGCAAGCAACCGTTAATTTAACTTGGCCCGGCAAATCTTCGAGTCAAGGTTAGGATCTTTGATACTTGACTGAGTGTTACCCTATCATAGTCGTGCGTGTGCATAGTCTTTGATTCCTGCGATCATCTTATAAACTAGCAGTAGCAACTCGAAGTATGTCGTCTACACAGACGATAGTACGTGTCTCCCGGTCTAGTGCGGGCGTTATTCAAGTTGCTGTACGTCAATATTACCGTGGCCCAGTAAGAATACTCCTGTTGTTCCTCATGCATAACATGGTGTTTATAATATTCTTCTACTTCATAGTTGCTCACCGCAATTTCAAAAGTGTCGACCATTAATCTTTCCATGTCAGCCCTGCGGAACGGATTGGCTTTGATTGATCTTCTATATTTCTAGCGCCTCCTCTCGGTGCAGAGCGTCTTATTATCTGCTTCGCTGAAAGCAAATTCTCGGAAGCATCTGTTCCCCGCTCCTAGTACCATATTCTGGGGATGTCGCACGAGGATTTGCTGTGACCGTTGCGCGCGTTCGGATTCTATCTTCGACAAGAAATTCGAATGCAGGAAGCTAAGCGGATCATGAGTTATCCGTACGTGTCTTCGCCTATCAGCCTCGTTCTATTCGTCACGTGGCCAGGTCATGTGCTTGTTTGTTCGTACATCATTCGAACTTCCACCTCCATCCAATACAACTTCAATGCGTCTTTAGTATCAAGTCTTCACGCCGTGTGCCATATGTGGGGTTACTCGGATCTGACTCTTCTACCGCTGCTATACAGCATTCTACGCATCTTACTTCCCGCAAAACCGGAGGACCAAAGGCTTTGTTCTGAAAACGAGCCAGCACATGGACGCGCGCTTATCCGAACTATTGCCGGTTCGGTCTCAAAAAAATCATTCTTGCACTGAACGTTTCCCTTTCTATACCTGCCGCCATTCCTCACATACGCCGCTGTTAACCCCGCATTAAAATTACAGAACATTCCAGTATTCTTACTATTCGTCAGACTAGGGGTCAAGAACGGAGCGTTTGCACAGCAACCACAAGTCTTGTCTTTGCTCCACTAGAAATAATATAGCATCCATGGGTTCACAACCTGCTTTGGCATCGTTATCGGAACTTCTTTGTGTCACCGTGTCCGTTCTCTCATCACAATATTATGTGTTCTCGGAGAGTAGACGCATCCGGGAGTGGATGCATCCGAGAGTGAACGCAGTATCAAAGTCAAACCTTCCGAAGCCATGGTTCAAGTATTTCGGCCGGTCATCTAGTCCAATAGGAGTGGCTCATGAGTGTCACATGGAGCAAGCTTGATGATCAATTTTGGTTCCATCACGCGTGGTGCATCGAACTTCTGCAAGTTGCGCTAGCGAAAACCAGTGAGTGATCGATACCCTAAAGCTTTTTTGTACATTTTTTACTTGTTGGATGTGGCGCAGCGTCTAGTGACTTATCCCCCTTTGATTAACAACTCTTGTTCTGGCGGGCACTGCTAACTGATGCCTACAAGCTCATGAGGGGATTTATACCAGCCATCCTACCTCATGTTTTTGACCAGCGGAACCCAGTTTCACTTCAACAACAGAGACTCTTACAAGTCCAGATCTCAAGTCATTCATCATGAGTTCCCGTGCGTCACTCTCATCCGAGGCAGCCATGCTACTGCCTAAATTTTGCTGACCATTCATGATGAACAGAATTTGTCATGCATCTCAACAACATCATGCAGGCCAAGTATGGCGTATCCTCCACTTCTCGCATCAAGTACGAAGAAACACCTAGCGGCCCGCAGAGCATGACTGTATGGACTGTCACTTATTTCAGTGCGTAGTTTGTTCTTCATAAATTCTCTGACGTACATTTTTCTTATCGTGTTCATCTAGTCAACGATATGAAATACGGTGAAGCGTCCGCGACAAACAAGAAGGCTGCGAAAGAGGCAGCCGCTCAGAAGACCATTGAAATGTTAGAGGCCGAGAACTGAGCCCTAAATGTCTATGGTTCTTGATATTTGGCGCTGTAGAGGCCAGACGTTGAAAATTATATGCTGCCGAGCTTAGATGATGCAACGCGGATTGAATTTTTGATGACTATGTAGTATTCTTGTGTCTCCGTATTTTGTGTCTGTTGGCTTTGTATAATATATCGTGTGCGGTAGCTCAGCGATATAACAAAAGCCCGTGAAATTGTAAATTGAAGCTCCGCGGCAACTTGGCACGAGAGACACGCTGACAGAACGAATAAGTCTCTTGGCCCTAAACTGCCTAGTCACTAGCCACTACCTAATCGACCTTCTTTAGCCCATCACGCACATGATCAGAAGAAAAATATTCTTCATGCCATGTATCTACAACAGGAACTCCAAGTCGCACACAGCAAGTTTATGGATTCACGCTAATTGTATGATACAGGTCACAAAGCTTCAAGGTTGATGGCCAGTGCGGCTTGCAAGTAAGGCATGATTACTTGAAGGTAATGCTCGACTAGTAGTGTTTGTTCTACATCATTTTTTGTGTTGCTCAGCGCTGGATCCTGTACTAGTATTAGCTATCATGTTTGTCAGCGCAATATAATCAAATTCATTGGTTATTTTTTTGTATCATTGGCGCTCTATATTATTGGGAAGCACTGGGAAAGGTAATATACAGAGTCCCAAAAGTGCCTTGTTGAGAGGTGATCCATCAGAGCACCCGACCCAGTCTCATTCTAATATCATGACTGTCACTGTATATTTTCCCCTTGTCATTGCATGTCACTCACCTAGTTACACTTATTTTCTCTCTTGTTACTTAAGGCAGGTAGATGCCTTCGTCGCACCTCAGTCTCTTTGCCATAGACTGAGGTGTGTACACTCTTGTTGTTCCTATTGATAACATACTCATTAGTGTACTTATAGGCTCGCGCTATCTTAGGTTCGTACATTAGGAATTTAGTCTCTTTGCCATAGACTGAGGCTCGCGCTATCTTAGCTCTCACCCTTTGACAGGTTATGAGCCCTGCCTAAAGGACAGCAGCATTCTCTTACCAGACATCTCATCATACAATGACTTCCTCCAACTCTCTCCCGAAAACCGAGAAGTATCCGCATGAGAAGCTCACCCTTGACGGTTCTAACTATTCTCAATGGGCTACCGGCTTTAAGATGTGGGCTGGTGGAATCGGCCTATGGTCATACATTAGTGGAGACGAGCAAGAACCATCCCCACCGGCCACGCTCACAGACCCTGACCAAAACATTCTCCGCAAGGAGAAACATGATGAGCGTGTGAGGCTTCACAAACAGCATTGACTCCTTGCCCTTAGTGCCCTCTCTACGGCCATTGACGCACAAGACTTTGTCTATCTGCGTGACATTGACGACCCACACCTTGCTTGGATTGCCTTGGAGAAGAAATACCTCCCCCAGAAGGCCATTCGGTTCAACCAATATCTTGATCGTTTATTTACCCTCCCAAAAGCGCATGATAGCGTGTCCATCGCGGAAACGTTGCAGATACTCATTGTCTTAAAGGCAGATCTTGCAGCACTATCAGTTGCATCTGTGTCAATGTCCGTCCCCGCTACCACCACTAAGAAGGAGGAATACAAAATCCCTGATGCCATCTTTGTACATGTCCTACTCTGAGCTCTCCCTGACTATTACGACCCTCTTCGTCAAACACTCGTTAATAGTGACACATCACTAGACTTCAACAACATCGTGAATCGGTTGAAGACCCAAGAGCTTCACCGTGCTGGTACCAATAGTGCGCCAGAACATATGGCCATGCTCTCGGGTCATCGGAATAGCAACAACGCACCTCCCAAGGCCAGCGATCACATCCCTCCAAAGGGCTTTGATGAGTCGAAAGGAGATGGCTGGATCGTTGGATGGAGGCCTAAATGTGGTCACTGCCAGAAAGCTGGACATGTCTGGGTGCAATGTTGTGCACGACTCGCCAAGGATGAGAAGAAGTCAGCCCCACATTTGTCCCCTGCTGCTGTCGCCGCTAACACGGAATCTCCATTGGCAGACCAAGCTGACGAATCTGTTGTGCAACCTCCCTTCCTCCTTACCCTAAAAGATCACTCTGCCAGCATCTCATCAACCCTTAATCTGCCAGACGGGATGTTCCATGTAGACTCTGCCTCAACCACTCACATGGAGCCTGAAATTTCACGCTTTTCCCATTATACCAAACTGCGTGAACCCATTCGTGTGACGCTGGCTGATGAACATGTGGTACTGGCCCCCAGGTGGGGTAAAGTGAGACTTACCCTACGCTATGGTACATCACTGACAGAGCACGATTTTGAGTTCTTGCACGTCCCTGACCTGCACTGCACACTCATCTCTGTCTCCACTCTCGCCTCTGCTCACATCTCCTTCACCGCTACCTCTAAGGGTGGAACACTGCGCTCACAAGATGGAGACGGCCCATTCCTCGCTCATGTGCACCCAAAAGATGGTCTATACTTGCTGGATGCTACATACTGCACCCCGATCGCACCCACCCCCATGCAAGCCATGCTATCTAGCTCGTCCAATGCACCACCATTCCTCCATACCTGGCATCGCCGTCTATGTCACACTGGTTTCTCCACCATTGTGAAAGCCGTTGGACATGTCAACGGTATGAACGTTGATGCGAGTCTGTTGGGTGACACCTCGGATGGTGCAGACTCCATCCATTGCATATCTTGCATCATGGGCAAGCACAAGCGGCTCCCCTTCCCCAGTGCTGCACGCCGTGCGCAGGCTACTGCCGAACTCATCCACTCTGACGTATGGGGTCCTGTCAATACGGCCTCCTCTACTGGTGACTACTACTTCGTAGTCTTCACTGATGACTATACGAGGTACTCGGTAGTATACCTCATGCGTGCTAAGTCCGAAGTATTTGCTCACTTCCAGCACTTCCTGCCGTGGATTGAGACTCAGTCTGGCGGCCATGTTCGGCGCCTGCGCAGTGACAATGGTGGCGAGTACGTTTCGACACCTTTCCTCCAATATCTTGCAGACCGTGGCATTGAACATGAGACCACCATGCCCTATACACCTCAGCAAAATGGTGTAACGGAGCGTGGTCACCAGATGATTGTCACACGTGCACTCAGTTCCCACCACCAGAGTGGCTTTCCATGCTCCTTCTGGGGCTGGGCCATGCTCAACTCAGCGCATGTCAAGAATGTTCTCCCTTCCTCCTCCCTCGCTGGTCGCACCCCATTTGAGGTGTTCTACGGTCGAAAGCCCGACGTGAGCTACCTTCGTCCTTTTGGCTGCCTTGCTTACGCACATATTCTGGAGGACATGCGTCGCAAGTATGACTATGTCTCACGGCGCTGCTTCCTCCTTGGTCATGTTCGACATGCTGGGTATATTCTCTGGGATCCTTCCGCCAGGCGCACCATCCGCTCTCGCCACGTTCATTTTTATGAACACGTCTTCTATGCGGACCCGGCTTCATTGCCTCTTGCCCCCCTTGCTGCCCCTGGTGTCCTTTCATCAGTGGGAGATACCCTGCCACTAGCTGGTGAGCCACCGACCTCGGCCCCTGCTGATGCTCCTCCTCCGCAGGTGTCAGTGGGAGGGGGTGATCATGTCCCACCAGCTATGGATACTGTCCCAGTGCTCCCACAACCTCCTCCTGATGCCATCCCTACTCCTGATGCAGTCCCTGTGCTCCCACTACCTCCTCCTCCTTCCATAGACCTACCCCAAACGCCTGAACTTAACCATCCCTGGCACCATCAACAAAGCACGTAAGTTGCCAGAATGGGAGAAATGGTTGGACACCTGCAAATCTGAATTACAATCAATGCGGGACCTCCAAACTCACCGTCTCATGCCGCTCCCACAAGGGCGAAAAGCGATTGGATCGAGATGGGTCTTCACGATAAAGTCTGATGAAGAAGGGAATATCACCCGGCACAAGGCAAGATTTGTTGCTCAAGGGTACACACAGGTCGAAGGCATCAACTACACGGAGACGTTCGCAGCCGTCGCCAAATACGACACAGTCCGCATCCTCCTTGCCCTCGCAGCGAAATTCGACCTCGAGCTAGACCAAATGGACACTCGGACAGCCTTCCTCAATGCCGAACTCAAAGAGGATATCTACCTCAAACAACCTGCCGGCTTCGAAGATCCCGAACACCCAGACTGGGTATGGAAGCTTGAGAAGGCCCTCTATGGGCTAAAACAAGCTGGTTACGAGTGGAATCAGACGTTAGATGAGTACTTGCGAAAGGAAGGTTTTAGGTTTGTGAGGAGCGAAGCGGATCATAGCCTCTATGTCCTTCATGAGGGAGATAGGGTCATATGGCTGGTAGTCTACGTCGACGACATGCTCGCAGCATCCAATTCCCGTGACTATCTAAACACGTTCAAGGCCAAACTCAAACAGCGCTTCGACCTCTCGGATCTCGGCCCAGCCAGACACTTCCTCGGCATGCATATCACACGGGACAGAGAGAAACGGCTCCTCGCTATCAGCCAGAAAGCATATCTTGAGAGGATTCTCGATGATGCTGGGATGTCCATGTGTAACCCGGTGAGCACACCTATGACACCTGGTGTTGTCCTGCAGAAGGCTACACGCGCCCCAACCAAAGAAGAGGCAGTCGCCATAGCGTCCATTCCCTATCGTCGAACAATCGGGGAGCTCAACTACGCCATGCGAATGACATGCCCTGACATTGCCTACTCTGTTTCCTGCCTCTCCCGCTACATGGAGAATCCAAGTATCGACCATCATTGTCAACTCAAACACCTCCTCCGTTACATTCGCGGAACGACAGACATCATGCTTGTCTTTGGCTCATCCAATGAGGGGCTCATCGGCCACTCAGACTCAGACTATGCCGCAGATCGGGATGACAGCAAATCCACTAGCGCCTATGTCTACCAGCTCTTTGGTGGACCCATCAGTTGGAAGGCACAGAAACAATCTGTCGTTGCCACGTCGACTACAGAAGCGGAGTATATAGGCCTATCGAACGCTT